TACCGGTAATCGTGCCGATGGATCGGAGGAGTTCCTCCGCAGTGCCTGCTGAAATTGTGTGCCGAGACCTATAGCCTCGGATTAAAATCTACTAGTCGGTCTCGGGAAAGAGCTACACATCGCAGCAAACAACAGTGTCTTGACACAGAACAACCGCCGCAGTTTTATATTCGTTGACGTTATGGTTTGTTGATTTTTTTTACCGTTGGTAAACTCTTTTTAGTAAGGGAAATAAAGGATGCAAGCCTTTTGCCAAACCGTTTGTTAAAGTCGATGGAAGTATTGAAGTGGTAAGAAACGGGCAGTGCCTTTGTATATAATAAGACATCTTCCATCACAGGACTTCCAAGAACACATCTGTCGATGCGATTTGACTTCCAATTTGTGACTTAAGTTATTGTTACCGACGACATGTGATTTGTCTTGTGATTGACTTTGCAATTAGATTCGTGAAAGTTTATTCAAACATGTAATTGTATAGTTTAATTGTTATTTTGGGGACTTTTTAACACAAGTTTCCTCTTAAAGCCAACAGTAAGGTTTGGGATTGATTTTAATTAAATGTACGCATTTTCGGGGGAAAAAACATCAAATTCTTAAGTCGTTATTCAATTCTTAAGTCGTTTTTCCTTGCCAAATACGAAAGAAAGTTTCAGAATTCGATTGGTGGAATGTATGTGGTCACCTTGCACAGCATCCGTAACGATATAAATTAAATTCGACAGGACATTTTTCTCGTGATGTTAGGCCTAAATTTTGCAAAAACTTCAAGTTTGAAATAACCTCACCTGCAGGATGTGTGGGATTTATCGCCATGATGGAACTGTTCACGGAGGAAGCCGCCAGCACGCGCTGGTGCTGCTTGTTCCGTAGTTGACACGGCGGCAGGTCGCTGCTGCTGCTAGCGCTGTCTCGAGCGGTCCGTCGCCGGCCAGGCGATACCGTTGATCGCGCCGAAGGACCGGGGGAGCTCCTCCGCAGTGCCTGCTGAAGTTTCGCGCTCGGACCCAGAGCCTCGGAGTCAAGTTTACTAGTCAGGATCGGAAAACAGCTACTCAACGCAGAAAACAATAACGCTTGAAGCAAAAACAACCATGGGAGCGGTGTCATATTCTTTTATTTCAGGATTTGTTGTGTTTTCCACGAGCTTTTTTTTAAAGAGCGGGAGCAAACAAGGATGCAAGCCTTTTTGTAGGAAGTATTGAATCGATGAAAACCAGGCTGTGTTTTTATAACAAGTCGTCTCTCATACCCAGACTTTCCAAGAACACATCTGTGTTGGCGATCAGTCATTTTCAACACGTACTGTGCTCATGCTCTTAAAAAAAACATGGATTTATTTCTTCAGTACCTTTTTTTTGTGATGGAGGGAGGGGGGTGATGCCCCGTTCAAAAGTTGAAAACTTAATCGCCAAAACAAACGAATCCATTTTGGGGTTGTACTCAAAAAAAAAAACCACACGCACAGTAAACCTTTAAGTTTACGAGACTGCCTGTCGATTGGAATAACGTGTGGAAATACTCGGCATTAAAACTAATTCCCGTTTCCACTAAAGGGTTGTTAACTTGACTTCGTGTGCTGGAAAAATGCGCAATGGTCACATTTTCTTAGAAGTTGTGCTTAGTCTTACTCTTATACAGTTTAAGTGTAGTTACATTGGGGACATTCTACTACACGGGTCATTCTCTTAAAACAAAACACAAAAAACAAAACAAAACAAAAACAAGCAATAAACAGACAAAGAAACAAACAACCAACATACACAGAAAAACACACAAACAAACAAAATAAACCACCCAGCACACTCCGTCCAAGTTTTCGTATTAAAAGGCCTACTTTATTGACTGGACAATAATACAGGGTAAGTCACTGTAAAGAAAGGTACCCGGATTAAAGATTTTTTTTCTCAAAAAGTAATGATATTGATACACCAATGAAGAATATCTTAAAACATGCGTGTTATTCCACTCATCTGAAGCACAAAAACAAAAAATTACTGAAATTGACCAATGCCAAAGTTAAGCATGTTTACTATAAGAACCCGTATTTATAGCTGTCCATGAAACGCCATTGGAAGCTATTGAGCCGAGTGAGAATTACAGATTACACACACAAGCATTCAAACACAAATGAGATTTTATCATTGAAATCAAGACTGAAACGTTATTTTTACTGTCAGATTTTGTGATTTGAAAATGAGGCACAAGTCAACTCTTTTTTTTTCTGAAATAGTGATGGCGATTTTTGGGTGAAAATAATTTTCTGATAGCCATAACGATTGATGTTCATGAACGACAGCCAAAATAACGCTTAATGAAATTGTCCTCTACGTGCTTTGAAAAGAAATACTCGTTTTATCACATTCGCCTCCCTAATTCGTATGCGAAATTTAAAAAAATATATTTAGGCCCTACTTACACGAACGTTTTTGGCCACTACGCAAAAGTCCTATTTGAAAACATTGTAACGAAATCGCATTAGCTAACTACGAATTTTACTACGAATGGAATGCAAAATTTTCTGAGAGAATGAACAATTTGCGAAAATTCTACGGGAAATCTTATATATTTTTTGCCATCCCTGTGTCACCAGACATTAAACTCTCGCGTTTGGAGTAATAAATTGCGAATTTTGTACTTTACAGGGTGTCCCAAAAAAATGCTCCACTCTCTTTTTTTCCCAAAATTCAAGAAAACCAGAAGGCATAAATTTTCTTATTATACATGGTAAGAATGCTATGTGTCTTGGTTGTTATCTACCAAAAAATCGGATCATACTGTCAATCCACTAGGGACAGAAATGCCTAAATATGAACTCGCCTCCATTTGCCAACTGCGCTGGGGACTCAAATCACCAATTTTAAAATGTCAATTTGTGTCAAGTGTGCTTTTCAAAAATTCTACTTGGTTTCTATTATGGAAGACCAGTCATCAGTTGTTGTCAAGCAAACAAGAGAAAACCAACCAACCATGGCATTGTTCATTTATTGGACTTTGACTAAAAATACCTATTTGTAAATCAAATACACGTTACAATTGTTTACCTATGTGTGGGCAGTGCCGATTTGCTTGACTGGTTCTTTTCAGACCAGAACCTTTTGTCACCTGATTTGAGGGAACCCCAAACTGAATTGTAGCACCCAGCCACAGGTGAACAATTATTATTACCTGTGGTTGATTTACAAATAGGTATTTTTTAAATTGGTGATTTGAGTCCCCAGCGTAGTTAGCAAATGGAGGCGAGTTCATATTTAAGCATTTCTGTCCCCAGTGGATTGATAGTATGATCTGATTTTTTGGTAGATAACAACCAAGACACATAGCATTCTTACCATGCATGATAAGAAAATTTATGCATTCTGGTTTTCTTGAATTTTGGAAAAAAAGAGAGTGGAGCATTTTTTTGGGACACCCTGTTTACAGTCATTTTTAAATGAATACTTGAACAAAGACATTGACAAAATGTTTATCGTTATCTTTAAGACCCCATTCCTATATAACATTACTAAAATCGCCAACTGACTGAATGACATTCTGATATTTCCTGAGGCATCAGAACAGCAGGTACACCATGACACCTTCTGAATATCAGCAGGTTTAGTTTTTGGAAAGAGGACAGGGCTTTAAATAATGAGGGAAAAAGTGCGGGGTGAAAAGTCGAACACGACAACCAGAAAACACCCTGAGATGGCGACAGTGCCGAACACTGCCAAAACTAGTAAGAATTTTACATTTTCTCCCCATGTCAGTTGCAAAAATGATGAAAATCCAGTGACAAAGTACAGCATGAAGTTTCTCAAGGCCGCAAACCCTAATTTTGAAATCGTACACATTCTGCAAGAAGTTTCAAATTGAACGAAAGGAAAAGGTATAGGTGTCCTAAAAGTAACGATTGCAACGATCCGGAGGTCGCAGGTTCAAACCCCGCTCCCGTCAATTTCTTTGTGCAACTTTTAAAACAAAAATAAATAATACAATTATAAAACTCGAGTCTGCAGATACCTGTCAGGCTTACGGTACTGTACAGTTTCCAAACTGTGCTTCTTACGAGAGATCATTGGAATTTACATGAACCATCAGAAAGAAACTTGACAATTTAAATACCTACTTAAGGGGATTAGCCTACCCGGCCTGAAATTCCCGAAAATTTCATGTTTGGATTAGTTACTAATGGCATTTCAAAGGTCTGATTGAAAGGAAACAAACCTAATGTCTTACCGTTCCCGAGAAAAGACGAAAATAAAACACACGGTTGCTTACCGACAGACATACATTTTAGTGGCATACCTATACGTACATCAAGTCGTGTCTATTCAATAGCTGGTACATAATGCACACAGCTGTATCACATGCACAACAAACACTCAACATCTCGATTTTGTCGGAGACAAAATTTTGACTCCCGAGATTCGTTCTCTCCCAGTTTTGGATTGTGTTGACGTTTGTGTTGACGTTTATGTTCAGGGAAAAAATGTGTGCTTGGCCGGTTTAAACAATTTGTTTAGACCGGTTGGAGTGTCTGATATCGGCCAAGTACATATTTATTTCCAATCATAAATACCTTTTCGGTCAATAATCAAACACTTTCCTGTCCAAAAGTACTGATAGCAAGTCAAAAATTATAAATTTCAAAATGTTGTTCAACCATTTTACCTCATGTTTTTCTTTACACCTCCTTAGCTTATATTGTATGTCCAGTCTCGCGAGTGTCGTATACAACTCAACTCCTTATATGGAGATTGGCGCGCGCGTCGCGCGAACTGCGCGATGTGGCGCCCGACGCAGCTGTGCATGTGTATTTTTAATTAAGGACTATGACATTCTAATTCACTGGTAGTATTACGCAAGCCTACCTGAAGATTGTGAACGTTCAACCAATAAAACGGTAAACGACATCGGATTTCCATAGGAGTCCAAATTTCATGCGACACTGGAAAAGTGTTTAAGACCAGCCAGCCGGTCTTTGTCAACCGTTTAAGACCGGCCACGTGACGGGTCTTGACCAATAGGAATGGGTAAACTGGTGTTTATGAATCTACTTTAATTACTCTTTCTATTACTTTTTCTATATTCTGTGGCGCACGACGCAGCTGTGCATGTGTATTTTTAATTAAGGACTATGACATTCTAATTCACTGGTAGTCACCAATAGGAATGGGCAAACTGGTGTTTATGAATCTACTTTAAATGCTCTTTTTATTTCACGTTTTCGCGTTTTCAAGCCCACTTTGGGCGCATTTCAGGCCGTAATGCCACTTTAAAACTGGAAAAGTAAGGGCTAGTTCTAGTTACATTGATTCAGGAACTCAGTGCGCCGTCTAGTGCAACTTGAGAATCCGACTCTGTACCCGCTGCTGGTGCTCGTGTCTTCCGTCACTGCTAAGCATCGGTCGCAACTGTCGCAACTGTCCGTGTCGCTGCAGTGAATGAATGGACTGAACCTTGATTCCACGTTACTAACTGTTGTCTTCTCGCACCAGAGCGTGCGGTCTTGCAGATTGAAGACCGGAGAAGGCTGTTTTGGGGAAGTAAAAAGTGCAAATTTAGAAAGAATTCTTTTTTTAAATGTTGTAACTAAACTTGTGTTTAAAGTTGTAAGTATAATTATGATGTACGGCTTTCTTTTATAAACGAAATAAATAGTTATAAAGAAAAGTGGCCGCCTTTTTTCCATTTTCTTTTGGCCATTAGTTTACTCTTATTGAAATACCAGGTCTGAAGAGGAAGGCTTTTTATTTGGGTTTGGTAATGGCTGTTACTTATTCGTCGATTAATAGGTATATTATTCTGCATAAAACTCTGTCGACTAAACAGTACGACCGCAGCCTTTGTAGGCGGCGAATAATTATAATGTCTTGTTCGCACGAGCGCGTTCGGCATCGTTATAGACTGGTTCCCTGTCCCCCCCCCCCAATTGTCCTTCGGACTTCAGATGTGGAGACTTAACAATATCGCTCAGAGAAGAGGTTTGCCCCGGTGTTTCTGGCCTCCTGTTTAAACTCCCCTGCGGAGTCCTTGGAGAAGAACCAACCAAGTACCAAGTTTAGAAGCGAACCTTGTTGGGGGTTTGGGGTGGGAGTAATCGGCACTTACTGTATCTGATAAATTCATTCTTCCCCGGTCATTAGTTGCCAGATATGGGCCTGCACCAAATCGTATGCGGACGAGTCCCAGCCTGCCGACGTTGGTCACGTCAACCCTGGACGCCTCTGTAAAACACAATCATAATATACATTTTATGCAAATTTGAATTCTGAAAATTTAATTTGCAACGTAACATAAGCACAACATTTGCATAAAGAGTAAAAGACAAGTCTTTATTGAGTTTAGTTCAGCCAAGTCGCCTTTTTGTTACCTCTTAAACTTAATGGATTTCAATGCAGATTTCACCTTTGACCGCTTCCGTTGAGAAACGGCTGCAGCGTCACCATCGGTTATAATGATCATCAGTGAGGTGTTTTTGTGAGCAGCTTCTTACAATTTTTAGCTGAAATCTGTGTAGAGATGGTCTACCAGAATTGGCTATTAGAACGACGCTATAGTTTTTTGGAAACCAGATCATTGTAGTGGTCCAATAGTTACAGTGTTCGATCTCTACCGACGTGCCGTGGTACGTAGGTTCGAATCTTGACGGGGAATACTGCGATGCTTGTGTTCTTGGGCAAGACACTTTACTACAATTGCTTCTCTCCGCCCAGGAGGATAAATGGGTACCTTTGAAGGTAGAGACCAGAATACGCCCTGAAGATCTCGAGCTGTTGCAAAAATGAACTCGTGATGAACAGGGGTAATAATTGTGCATGTGAAGCATTTTGAGATATTTAGTATAAGCACAACATCGGTCCAAGGTTACCATTTTTACAGTCTGATATGTTTGTTGAATCAAAGTTTAGAAATTGCAGCGCTCAAATAAACGTGATATTCCTACTGCTGTTCCCCCAAAGTGACATTGTTACTGCGCACGCGCATTCATTTGCTCAAGAATATGCCCAGGAGCTACTTCTTTCAACCTCGGACTCGGCCATACGCGTCTATGTCACTAAAAGTTACTCACCATCTTGAGTTCCGTAGGGCAGGGTCGTGACGGACTCCGACAGAGCGAGAACTCTGTTATGTTCTCTGTTGTAAAGTTTACAGCTAGCAGCCTGTCTGCGCAGACGCGTTGGGAAGGACGAGTTGCCGTACGGTGCGCGTGCGCGGACCGAATGAGAAGGCAAGATGTCCGCGCCCCATGCCGATATAAGATGGAGCTTGGCTGTGTCGATTTGCGGGGTCTTCGTGGCGAAAGCGGGCTCCTCGGACGGTAACTGCAAAGATGGAAAACACAGGCCGCCGCTGGACAACAATACTACTGCCACCAAGGCAGTCCAAGTAACTTTCACGCTGGAAATTGCCATTTTGACTAAAGAGTCGAAAGCCAAACGATACTGGTGTAGGTATACGTGTTTATACGTAACACTGAGGTTCGCCAATGTGCACAGGAGGCCCTCTCCTCTGAAAATGCCCAGATCCCAGAAAACTAGCAGATTTTTATACACCTTGCCCGACATTACGAAATTTCAGGTCTTCTCAGTGTGTGGGCCTACATCTGTAGAATTCTGTTCAATTAATCAACCAAAGTTTCCATTTAGTTCTAGTTCCATTTAGTTTCATGAGTTCCAAACACAGATTTGAATTGTGTAGTTGCGCAACTTTAAAAACTTCAAAAAGAGCAAACTTTTTTGTGACCTTTAGGAGGTGAGCTTGTCCGCCGGATGTAAGTGGACCTTGGATATTTTGTGTGAATACTTTTTTTATATCTTCAATTGAGCGTACGGTTGTTTTAAACTTTTGTAAGACGCATTTGGTATTTCCGACAGAGTGGGTGAACAATGAAAAATGAAAGTCGAAGATTTCCGTGTTTAGCAGCAAGATACATTCCATTTCACACCAACTTCCACTTTTACACAAAAGAATAAATACGTCTGGAAAAGGTCAGATATGCTCTCTCAAGGTCCAAACCCAGCCATGGTTTTCTTTCTTTATAAATTGGGGATACTCGGGAGCTTAAAATGACGGTTGTCAAAATAGCAAACGGGTCAGTGAATCACACGCCAATGCAAACACAATGGACTTTTTGTTGACTTTTTGTGGAGATACGGAAAGCTCTGCGCGCGTGGGCCAACACGTAGAAGAATGGCCGTATTTATAATGTTTATGCGCACCGTGCCTGTGACATTATAGGTGTACAAAGGACACCTGTCACGGTGCGACACGTATTGTACATGTACGACCGAATGCTAGTCTGGTTCCCAGACCTGACAATTATTCCCGACGCTCACGTCTTAAATTGTAGGTCAGGCAGCCTCCGTGGCTAAAAATAAACCTGACGACATTAATAGCCCTTTTCCAAAGCAAGGCTTCGTTTCCGATTTCGCTTTATCACTTGTAGCTTTTAATGTTCTGATCAAATTTTTAAATAAATCACTTGCTTCGTAATATCATACAGTTGTGATAATACAGTTTGATGTTTTTGTAAGATTATATTATTATTAACATTGACTAATGTTGATCTGGAATCTTCAAAATTAGGGAACCAAATAGCACTGTTAGCAGGCGGAGCCGAATGAAGACCGAGTTTTAGAAAATCTCGGTAACGGTCGTCAAATTCAAAATTGTGCATGACGCAGCAAAAAGTTCGCCCGTACGATCCGAGTATATTTGATGCTCAAAATCGTCGTGGAATTTCAAGTTTTCAAACACTGAAATTGTTTCAAATTTCAAACAATGAATATTAATTATCAACTCATTTAAAATCAAATTAATAAGCAATTAGCAGTTAATTAAACCTATATTATATGCTTGGAAATACTCGGGCGCTATCCGATTGTCGACGAAACGACTTCGGCAAACTTCGGAAATTTTCGGAAAAAGGAGGAATTCCTCCCGTTTTAGTCACGTGACGTAAATTGTAATACATTGTATTACCGGAGGCTACCGGACCTAAGATTCATTAGGAATAGTCAGAATCTTTTGGTCTGGGAACCAGACTAGACCGAACGCCACACTGTAACTGACACAAGTTCTAGGAAACAGTTCTTCCCCAAACCACGGCCTCATCTTAAACTGCGGCTTCAGAAAAGCATATAGAGAGTTTGCACCGAGCGCCCCATCCTAATGACAGCAGGAGTATAAAACAGGAACCAGGACCTGTGTCCGCAGGCGCGGTTCTACGGGGGGGGGGGGGGGGGGGGGGGGGGGGGGGGGCTGGGGGGGGGGGGCTTTAGCCCCCCCCCCCAATTTTGTCCCCCCCCCCAAAAATAAATTCTGGAAAAAAAAAATTGCATTTAATAGCAAAAAGAAGGATTGTGATGTACATGCAAACGGTCTCCCTAAAAAAAATAGTCGTGACAAGGGTGCATTAGTTAATATAGTGTCAATGATTTTAGGATTTTATTGGCGCTCCCCATTGAAAATATGGCATGAGGCCTCCCCCCCCCCCCCCCCCCCCCCACCTCTTGATTTTCGGAGGCCTAAGTGTCTGGAAAAAATAACCGGTCTACATTTCAGCACGCCTCCCTGAAAGAAATTCTGGATCCACCCTGCTAGCCCCCCCCCCAATATTGGTTCTAGAACCGCGCCTGTGTGTCCGCCGTGAGGGCGTTCTGTGCATGCTCTCTGTGCAAGGCCTATGTTCTGCTAAGAAAGTCGATGACGGCAAAGCTGGAGATAAAACCGTGATTTTGGAAATCTCAATAAATTCAACGAATCTATTATTCCGATGCCCTTTTCGTTTCGTTTGGATTTTACTCAATTTCAGCAACGCTACTCAAAATTTGACGAAAACTTTACTTCAAGCAGTTTCAGCCCAGTGGATATACTAAACTCTGTTGGGGGGGGGGGAGAGAATTTCTGCATAATTTTCATGTGAACATTCGCGTGTCAGTTCGTCGATGGCAAACCGAGCTTGACCCAGTTTCAATGCCCGATTTATAATTTAAAAAAAAAGTTACAAAAAAAGCGAAACCCAAATATCGGGACTATTGTTTAGTGAAGTTCCGCATGTAGCACTTTGAAAATCTAGGATATGAAAACCCAATTCATAAGCGTTCTTTTAGTACAAGAATCAGTAAAATCACTTATGTACTTTTTAAGTTACGGAATTTTAAACGCAACCACCCTTTTAAAGTTCTGTCCACGGATCACAAAAATGGTATGTGATCTTTCAGCAGAACGAAAACAATTCACACACATCCCTATGTGATCCGTGGACAGAGCTTTAAAACGGTGGTTGTGTTTAAAATTCCGTAACTTGAAAAGTACATGATTGAATTGAATGATTCTTGTACTAAAAGAAAGCCTATATATTGGTCTTTCGTATCCTAGATTTTGAAAGGGCCACATGCAGAACTCCACTAAAACAATGGTCCCGACATTTGGGTTTCGTTTTCGACTCACCCTGTATACGCAACGCTATTCTTCTTCCCAGACCAACCACGGTAGGGCTTAACGTCTGTGCATAATCATTATTTAATTTGATTATTTTGTAGGCCTTATTCCTTTTCCCACCCTTTTAAGAAAAATGCCGTAAAAGATCAAAATACTCGAAAACCGACTGATTTTCCGTGCAATTTCTTTTAAGTCCGTGACCTCCAAATACAAATTTTAAGAAATAAATAATTTAAAGGTAATGTACAATATTTGCAAACATTAAAAAAAGGACCAAACTATTATGAAATACCTTACTTGACTGTAAGTGAATAATGGTCTCAAACATCCTGTACAATCATGGCACTGAACCTGCAGAAACTAGAACCGTCAGAAATTTAACTGTATGAAAACGCATGGAGGGGCTTCCTAAACACACAGTACGTCATGCACGCGGCAGGCTCTCTAAACAATGTGTTTAAGACCAGTTGGAGTTGTGATGCTGATAATTACCCAAGTCAGCATCCAGACTCCAACCGGTCTTACATGTAGTGTTTAATACCGGCTTAGCACACATTTAATCCCTTATCGAAACTCCTATCCTCCACGTTAAAAAATCAAAAATCGGTCAAAAAATCAAAACTTTTGGTCCAAAAGTCAAAACAAGTCAAAATTATAATTTTTGAACGTTAGTCAACCATTTTACTTCGTATTTTTCGAAACACCCTCTAGCTATAGTATGGTATGTCCCTCTCGCGAGAAGTCGTAAACAACTCCTGTGTATGTAAGTTGGCGCGTGCGTCGCGCGTTCTGCGCGACGGTGGCGCAGAACGCAGCTGTGCCGGTGTATTGTGAATTTAGGACGATGAAATAAAGACTCGCTGGTAGTATTGCGCATGCCTACGTGGAAATTGTTAACGTTCAACCAATAAACGGTAAAAGGAACCGGATTTAATAGGATTCAAAATATCATGCAACACTGGAAAACTGTTAAAGACCAGCCAGCCGGTCTTTATCAACCGTTTAAAACCGGCCACGTGACGGGCTCTCGACCAATAGGAATGGGCAAACTGTCGTAGGTATAGCCAAATTTGGCCTTCTTACATTCGCTACTGCTTCTACTACATTTTATTTGGGGGGGGGGAGGGTTGGGGGCAGCCCACCGTAGAACTGTGCCTGTTGTCGAGAATGTTAAATGGCTGCATGAGATTTTGCTCTTCTATAGACATTGGCAGAAGAACAAGTTTGCCCAAAACTTCGGTGATGTGTCCATCAAGCAACAGCAGGTGGCACATCCGATTGGCACAAAGGGAACTGATCTCTATTGTGAGAAAACCTGTGCCGTATGGAGTCCGGGTTGGGTATAGAACTTGAAAGTTCACCCCTAGTGGCGCGCTTCCGGAACCCTTGAATAGGAAAATTAACGTGAAAAAATTCGGAAATGTGTAATTATTTCCTAACCTTGGTACATTGATTTCTTAAGAAAATCACCCTCGAAAAAGGCCTTTATAAAACTGTTACTATATATTATTATTATTATTATTTTATTATTATTATTGTTGTTTATTCAGCCAAATTACAAGATACAACAAGCAATCCACAAAAGTAAACAAAACTAAACAAAAACAATGCAATCCAAGCTGGCCAGGATTGACAAAAGTATAATAAAACACTGACTCGAAAGCCTGTCAATCCTAACTTGAATGGTACATGTAACATACAAAAAATATATTAAAAAATAGATACAAAGTTCAATGAAAAATAAGACCGCCTTCAAAATAAAACTTAAAAAGATAATTAGATTCAAAGGAGTAACAGCTAAAACCTGCCAGAAGTTTTTTAAAGGCAAGATATAGCTGGCGTAAAAACATAACAGCATGCAGATTTTACAAGACTGGCCGGGGAAAACAGACAAACAAAACAAAACAAAGCAAAACAAGACAGGATAAGACTAAACAAAATGAAACAAAACAAGACAAAACAAAACAAAACAACTTAAAAGACAAGGCGGTCATTGAAAATTTAAAGTTAAATAGGAGACTAAAATGTCTTTTAGGATTAACTTTTTTTGGTTAATAAACGTGAAGGACTCATTAGCTTTTACACACACAAAATTATACAATGTCCGCTGATAAGGACATTCAAGCCAGCCCGACAAAATCTAGAACCCATCAGCTGCTGTAGGTTGGTAAATCTTGGAGTCGTTATACATTTTCGTCCTCACGCAAGTACGCGATGTGAAAACAAACGATAACGAACAAGGAGACCTTGGAACGAAAATGCCGGATGTGAAAGATCGTAAGTAAATTCATCTTTACCCACTATCGCCAAGTGATTTCTCATCATTTTTTTCTTGAGGAATACCAAGATAAAATTCTAACATGAATGTTGCTTGGGGTTATTTTAGAAATCAATCTGTCGAAAAATTATGGCAAGGGAACTAACTTAAAAGCTTAAAGGGCAACCTTGTGTAAAATGTCAAAAAATGCGGGCCGCGCAAGGATTCCGGAAGCTCGCCCCATGACCTTTTACTTGCAGGCCAGTAAGCCCCGCCCACTGCGCACTGGGCAAATTAACACGTGCTCCTCTCCAATGCCACACTGCATTTTCCTACGGCACGCGCGTGCACGCTTGTCGGACTTTTGTGCACGTACGTCGGACATAAATCACGGCTGTGAGTAAGCGGTGCTTACTGGATCGGTGCAATCCAGTAAGCACCGCCCCATGGTGTTCTGACCAATCACAGCCCTGATTTATGTCCGAGTGCGTGCACAAAAGTCCGACAAGCGTGCACGCGCGTATGATGCTTGCTGTAGGAAAATGCAGTGTGGCATTGGAGAGGAGCACGTGTAAATTTGCCCAGTGCGCAGTGGGCGGGGCTTACTGGATTGGTCCATTACGGTGTAGCATGAATTTAGGTTTTATGAAATACGGACCCATTGGTGATATTGCACATGCTCATGCATAGATAATTAGGAGGGGGACCGGTCACGTGAGAGAGTTTAACCAATAAAAGGGAAAAAGAGTCCGATTTTCATGCGAGTCCGATTTTCATATGACGCCGGTTTGTAAGTGACTTCGTTATGCATCGCGCGCGCGCACGCACAGCGGATAAAGCACAATAATACCCTATCGCCGTTTGCGAGTTGGCCAAGCCCCTTAGAAAACCAAATGGAGTTTTTGTGCGCTAAATTTTGTGTCTCAGATGTTGCACGTTCCGCGTTCATTTGTATATCATGTATTGTACAAAATGAAGCGGTGAGCACTGCGTTAACTTTTGTTTTCATCATGTATATCATGTAATTGGTCTATATTTCACAAGCTGCGTTGACGCGATTCTCACGCGATTCTACCGGGATAGGTCAATAGACCGCTTGCAGACGCGTTCGATAATCGACGCGCGAAGGCGCGCGACGCCATGTTGTGGGACAGGCGTATATCAATTCACGCACATTTTGTCCCATAACATGGCGTCGCTCACCTTAGCGCGTCAATTATCGAACGCGTCTGCAAGCGGTCTATTGGCTAAACACTCAAGTTTATGTCTGTGTTCAAATCACCCAATGCTACCGTGCAGTGGGCGTGTTTTAAACTGAAGTGACGTCACACTTACAAACCGGATTGCATTGGCGGCCAGGAGAACTTGTTGTCATTTCCACGTGCCGACAGGGCGGAGCTTATATGTATTTTGCGTGCGCGTGTCACGTGCCCACGGCATGCACGTACATAATTATGGCGATGTAAGTACATGTACAATGCTTTGCAGATTGGAGTTTGCGCTTCTATAATTCTTCACATAATTTAGTTTGTGCAAGGATTTAAATCAGCGTTCACCACTCATCGGTTATTGTCTTGTTGGCCAAGACTATTATAAGATTCTGTTTCCCTTTGGAATGTTGGCACCAGGACCCCAGAAATTCCGAGCATCCCTCACGCACCTTAATTTATTGAAGTTTATAATGTTCACGTGTGAGCTGCTCATAATTATTTGCTTGTGTCAATGAACTTGGCCATATTTGTGAAACCTCGACTTGGTACAACTTGTTCGGGTTCTGTTTTCATAACTAGTTTCCCCCTTTGGTTAATGTTCTCGGAGATTCAAGCTCAAACTGTATGTTTACCCTTTCCCATCCGAAATCCCTTAGCCAAACTTTGGAGACGTACCGTACAGGGTTGCCGACCAGTTAATCGGTCCGAAATTGCCTACGCCGGCCCGGAATCACGATTTGCATGCCCTCAAAATCTTCATTATTTAAGCATGCTGTGGGCCATGAACTTGAGGGTTTGTACAAAATATGGGTGGAAGCCGTGCACAGGACTGTGAGCTTGTAGTTCGTTCAATTTGGATGAAATTGGGGCCCTTAAAGCGCTCTATTTTGCAATGGAGTGTAGGCATCGTTTTTTTCAAAATGGCGATAGGCTTCAGGACTATTTTCAGGGGTGATCATCTTCGGATGGAAATTTCTCCTAAAAGTCATTAGTTGACCCCCGAAAATTGTAAAGAAAATGAAAGATGATGAAATAAGCTTTAATTTGATGTGTATCTCGAACACCTTGGAGAGTTGTGAGTAATTTCCCCGAATTTCTGAAGTGGGAGCATTTACCATTGAGGTCTATGGAAGTTTATTTACTGGTCTGCAACCACAGGGTTTCGCAAAATGGTTCGTATGACGGTAAAGCCGCAGCCCAGACAAGGCCGAGATTTGTAGAAATAATGCAATCGGGCACGGTGCGCATGACTCAACAACAGAGGGCGCTATTTACATGGCGGAAGTTTATACGAACCATGACAACAACTTAAAGTTGAACAAGTTCCGTAAAAAAGACACAGCGCACGTCTGAAAACATCGGAGATTTGCTCCTTTTAACGTGGACAGGTTGATTTCAAGCAACAGGCTGTTGTTTCATGATGAAATAATCATGCCAGTAGCTGCTGGAATTGACGCTTTCACTGCGTTCGAGAGGCAGTTGAGAACCCTCTGCCTCAACGAGTTTCCCTGTGGAAAGGGAACGTGGGTAGGTTTACCGGTTTGTGGTTGGTATGCTATCCCGGCTGATGAGTGTGCTCAGCCTACCGGTAACAGGTCATCTCGTACCTTGGGCAACTCGTACCTTGGACAACTCGTACCTTCAACTCGACGTCATTATACCGAGTCGTACCTTGGACAACTCGTACCTTCGGCAAGTCGTACCTTCAGTTAAGACGACTCGTACCATCACGCGTAAGACAAGTCGTACCGTCAATCAGGATAATGATCCGAGGCTGAAATAAGTGGACCGTAACTCATTGGAAGTGGACTGCTTATTAAAATAAAGGTGAATCTCTTTTTGGTATGGGGTCTCTTTCCCCGGGCCCCCAAAAAGAGGAATTTATTTAGCGCGAAGCCGGCCGCGGCAGCTTACACGCACTGTGTGCGCGGCATGCACAGGCCCACGCGGCATCCGTGCAAAGTGACACGGTTCTTGCGCCGCGCTGACCGGTCAATATGGACGTCTGTGCACGGTGACATTGATGCAGTCTGCCGTTACGTTTAGAGACTTAGGCTACGCGAAAATATTATGGAACTGATGTTTTTATCCAAGATTCACGTCTTACCATCATTTCTACAATGAATGACCATCATTGAGATGAAATATATATGAAGAAAAAAGTGGCCAAACCCCCGCCCCCAATTTGTAAATGTTTCGAATAAACCAGTTGATGAATAAACCAACTGTGAATTTTTTTTTTACATTTTAGACTTTCAGACTTATAGCTAGGAAAGGACTGAATCATTTAAAAGTACTGACTGCTCTTGTATACTTTGGTTATTAGACTTCACAAGAAAACGCAGAAATTACTTTATTTAGACACATTAAATGTTTAAATTTGATTTTTATAAATTTTGTCGGTTGGTTTTAGCTCGCTCTGGAAACAGGATGTTACGGTGGTTAGGCTGTATTGCATAATTAAACCACACCAAATCCGCATCTGAAGTTTCTCCACTATAAAATTCAATAGATGAGTGACACTTCTATAGATGAGTGACACTTCTATAGATGAGCGACGCTTCAATAGATGAGCGACACTTTGGGTGTACTTGTTAAAACCGCCGGCCGCTTCCGAGTCACCGGCATCGGTACCGCGCACGACCGACCGCTGCTCGCGCCCACGGAGGCCGGCCCGCCAGGCCCAATGCGTAAACTAATGCTGCCTGGCAAAGCCATTAGATCTTTAATGTGGAAGCTGTCCTGGGCGCAGACATTTTGATTACATGTGCATGTGCATGTTTGTAGAACACAATGAAATTAGATGGATTGCATTTTAAAAGTGTACTCTAAATGCAACGCGCAAGTAGAAGATACGCAAACAACTTCAGCGCGTCATGACGGTTCAAAAACGTCACGGCAAAAAGCATCTGCAGCGGATACGCTAACGCTTTTACTAGCTATTTGCGTAGAGCAAAATGAAACACTCATTTGCTGATCGTGCGTTTCGGTTTTGGGCGTATCGGCTTCGATGACGCACCGGTATGGAATACAAACGCAGATATGCAAATAGCCTTACAAGATCCGTACAAAATTTCTAGTTCCCCATAGGTTTGTGCACAAATATGGATGCGCCCATCCGGCATTACTTTGTACATCGAGTTAGCGCTCTAGTAATTTAATATAGCTCTATGGTTTAACCGCAAAACTACCAGGCCAACTTTACTCACTCGTTAGCCAGCACATTTCTCCAAAAATTACATTGGGCAAAGAAAAGGTCCTCAGTAGTTTACCAACCAAGTTTGCCGACTCAGTTCAATTTTTAAAGGAGACATTTCTTCAATATGTTGAACATGAGAAGGAAGTCAAGTGATTTCAAAATGGGGCTAAATACTAGACTGGTACATGTCCAACCATGGTCCAACTATTTGAAAAGACTGACCTCTTCATTCAGTGTCATATTCTGGTGGCTGACTATGGAGAAATGTGTAGTAAAAAGAGACTAGTTCCCGGTTCAGGCCACATGTTTCTTTTGGCACAGTTGAATGATGCAGTACTTAAGCGGTGTTGGACTGGTTGTTTCAGGTGCCAGTCTATTTTCTTGTATTTGCATATTTTCAATACCTAATAAGTTTTGGGACTCTTATAAACCGTAATGAGAGTCCCAAATTTTCGGACTAGTTTAACCACTGTTACTTGTGACTGGACCTGTTGTTAACTTCACTAGTTGAATTCTGAAGTAAAACCCATTATAAGGCCGAGACTGAAAAGAAATTTAGTAGTTTTTCATCCGGCCTGTTTTTTTTTAATGAAGGAGGCGGGTGCTTTTCTTTTTTCCCCAATGGTGAATTTTCCAAGATGGCAGATGGATTCGTCAATTTTCTCAACTATTTTGCTGATACAGAATTGTGTCCAAAAGAGCATAACCTTTCTACATAGCTACTATTTTGTTGGAACCGAATAAAAAGACATATGACATTGTATGTGCAAAGTATATTGCAAATGTATGAATTAAAAAACGAAAAAGGTAGCGGCCGGGAAAAAAGGAAGCAGGCGGGGATGAGGAACTGGCATAGGAAAGATTCCCCTATCTGGCCATCACTTATTTTTCCCTTCAGTGACCTATCAACCATCAGAAAGTGATAATATGTCCTAAAAGTCAAAATTAGCAAGGAAAATATTGATGTATTTACTGAAAAAACACTTACACATTTTCAGACCAGTCTCATAGGGTTTGTGCACAGGGTGACAAATGATGGCCAGATTTGGGAATCTTTTCCTGGTATATTCTTTTTACTTGGCCGAAGAGGTTCTACATGTACATGAATTGAAACCGTGTTCTACATCTAGTTTCTATTTTGTCTTCTTTTCTCTTCTGGAATTCAGAGAACGTCAAATGAAAAGACCCAGTCAGAATCCAGGTTCAATGTCACCCTGAAAGGTAAGGTTTTAGTTTACAAATTTTCTTCGAATGAATGAGGCTGTTCGCAATATTGATGAGAAATTGAACAATGCCCAAGCATGATGTACAGCGTTTCTCAGCGATTTCTCAGAGGTGGCCACGTTGCTAATTTCAGTGACCACCTTGCCAATATCTCCAGTTCGCTGTGAAGATTTGCCATGAAGGAAATACTCATCAAAAAATTGTCATTCTCTGTAATTTATGAGCGTTTACCTTGACCTCTGTGTGTAAAGAACTCACAATTTGGATGTGTAGATGAAATCATCTCGCATATTTGTGAGCGTTGCATTCTTTTTAGTTTGCAGACTTTGTAAAATGTTTCCATCGTCAATTTGAATTTTTACCAACTCGCTCGGTTTATATGCCAGGGGAAACACTTGGCGTTTCTACACAATTGCCTTTCAATTTTGTTCTTTAATTCTTTTTTGTTTGTTGTTTTTTTTGTTTATCTTATAGATTATGGGGCTGGCAAGGAGCAAGAGGAGACACTTGAAGAGCTGATTTCGTCGCCGTTTTCTCCGTACAGCGTCGATTACAGCTGGAGTTCGGAGGCCAAGCAGCTCCGAGACCTGGCGGTCAAGAGCCCGTGGCTCATCGACCGGGAGTTCATCCTGAGCCACTTCAAGTCGCTCCGGATTGTGGACAAGAACGTGAGTCTGAAATAGGGCTATCAATCGGAACCGGGTACCCGAGTACCCGACCGTCAACATAAGGAACCGGTTCCAGATTATGGAATCGAGTACCCGTAAGGCGAGCCATCAGATAACAGACCGTTCGGGTACCGGGTCCGGTATGCTAATTTCTTTCACCCCAATCGGTACGAAGCCAGAAGCCACCCGGTCACTGAAGCGTGACGCCCCAATCGGTCCAAACTGGTGACTCAGGGTTTCACAATAGGCAACATAAATTGAAGTCTGGCCATTGTTGGAGGATTATTCGGCCCACTGGGATTACCAGCGGCAGCTTCTATGAAGCTCGTCACAGTCATTGTTGCCTACTGGAGGATTAGCGCGTCGCAAATTGGTTCCTTTGTGATGAGCCAGAGCCATGGTGCAGTAGCCTGGTGGAGTTAATCCAGGCCGATCGGTTCCACGCAAGGTCCCAATCCCTTCAACATACTGGGCGGGCTCAACCCGAACGGTCAGGGGAGGGATTCTAATTTGAGGGCTTGCCTAACCATCTTTAGAAATTACTCGGTAACTTCTCAGAGAATGAAAAAGAACAGCTTCGAATGTAATTGATAGAGAGAAGTTTCCAAATGAAAAACAGACTTCGTGGAAAACAAAACCAATTCCCCGTTTACGATGCTTGGGATAGTTGCTGTGTTTACCATAAAGCTAAAGAGCTCACTGTATGTAACTTGCGAACTGGCACACCGATATGGGGCATGGGTGTCGCCAGGATTTTTTCTAGAGGGGGGGCAAAAAAAAAATTTGCCAAAAAATGCTTGTATTACTCAACACATTCTCGATTTATCAGTTTTAGAGGGGGCAGGGACATTTTGCCCCCCCCCCCCCCCCAACTCATTAAATTTACACCACTTTGTCTTCGCGCCTCTTTTTCTTTTTTTTTCCTTTTCTTTTTTTTTTCTTCCTTTTTTTTTTTTTTTTTTTTTTTGTGTGCTTTTCCAGGGGGGGGGGGGGGGGGGGGGGCAAGTGCCCCCCCTTGCCCCCCCCCTCGCGACGCCCATGATATGGGGTAGTATTAGCATGCAGACCTTTATGAACAATCTGAACAGCAACTTCCGAAATTGACAGTTTTGGGTTAGGTTTCTTTAATGGGTACCCAGGTAACCGTATTTCTTTTCAATAGGTTACCCGGTTCCTGTACTACCCGTAAATGCACACCCCTAGTCCGATATCGACGTCTGTTTGAATACTTTCGCTAACGTTAACAGTGTCACATTCTTCAAAATCTGTTGGGAGATTTTTAAGGATTTGTGTGAGATTGGAATGCGTATGGACTTGTGCTCAAACAGCAGGGCCCAATTTCACGGCGCTGCTAAGCACACGTTTTTGTGCTAACAGAGCCTCTGTCTATTTCATGGAGACCGTAAGCATAAGTACAGCAAAAGGCATGCTTACTTCGGAGGAAAAATTTGATGAACTTAATGACGTAACAATGGAAATCTCCATGCACGTGCGACCGTTAGCACGTCCACGCCGTGAAATAGTGCTTAAGGTTAGCAAATTTTTCTGCTACGCTAAACACAACTTTTGTGCTAACTGTTAAGCAGCGCCGTGAAATTGGGCCCTGATGGCCTGTCATCTCCATTTTACGAGCGGAAGGGAAACACTGCACTTGGGTATCCGGTTCCTGTATGATAATACATGTAATAATAATCGGCATTTAAGAACGCTCTTATTAGTAAACTAAATCACAGCGCTTACAGTATTATTATTACCCCTGATCATTGGGCCAACTAAACATTCCAAATACCATCTCAGCTCCCTGGGGAGTATACAGCTGGATGCTGCCTGTTAGGCGCAATCAGGCTTATTCAATCACAATAACCATCTCTGCCCTCACAGGTACCCATTTACTCCTGGGTGGCGAGAAGCAATGAGTGACAAAGTGCCTTGCTCAAGGGCACACGCACCATGACCCCGGCTAGACTCGAACCCACAACCCGCAGCTTTACCCACAGTGCCCTTAACCACGAGGCCACAGCACTCCTATACTACCGGTAAACGCACACTATTAAAAACAATTTTCTTTTGCCTATAATTATCAGGTAAGTACAGTTGACGAAGGCCTGCTTAGATTCAGCAACTTGGAAGAATTAACCCTCAGCGTCAACAAACTCCAGACGGTGGATACGTGCAATGTTCCGAGCTCGCTAAAGGTCTGCGTTTTTTATTGGTTTTTTTTGTAAATAATAATACTAACGGGTACACATATAGTGATTTTAACTAATATCAAAGTGCTTTACATTATTATTACCCCTGATCATTAGGCCATTGAACATTCTTAAACTCAGCTCCTTGGTAATATACAGCTCGATGCAGCCATTTCGGCGCAAGGCAGCTAGAATCAATCACAGTAACCATCTCTGCCCTCACAGGTACCCATTTACTCCTGGGTGGGGGAAGCAATGAGTGACAAAGTGCCTTGCCCAAGGGCACACGCACCATGACCTCAGGCGGGACTGGAACCCACAACCTGCAGAATTATCCGCAGACCACGAGTTCAAAGCTCCAGACCACGAGGCCACGGCACTCCACTCAGATGTGGATGATTCACAAAAACAAAAACTTGTCTGAAAAATGTTGTTCGTTACCTTCCCAAAATACTCCAAAATCTGTTTTACAAAATAGAGGCAAGATTGAGGCTATATGGCAAAAGTGTGTGGCTGATTATGGCAGATGCACTGTGTCAATTAGGTCTTAAGCCAGTCCTTGCATTGTTTATGCTCAGCCATGCAAAAATGTAGGCCTTGATTATACTTGAAATCCTCCGCACTGCTTCAGGATGTCACTGGCTCTGCCCAAACATGTTGACAGTGACTGCTGCAGGATTTTGCAGGATTAAGGCAGCTAGTGGTCACCCCTCCAAGGACCACATTCAAGAAATAAAGGAGAATTTAGCAGGATTCAGGCTGTATGCTATTTTTACATGGAGGCAGTTGGAGGATTTTGCAGGATTGAGTTTACATCCTAGCAATAACCTAGGAGTTTAAGGCTAAGACCTCTATAGACATAATGGTTAAACTGTTTTGACTAATGCTGAAGAATCCTCCAAATCGAAAACCGATTACCTTAAATACCACTTTCCATGAAAAATCCTGCATGCAAGACGCCCGTCTGAATTCACATTCGGGACGAGTTCCTGACTAGTCGCAGGAAGAATCAATCACGGTTTTCCAGAAGAAACTCTGCAATTGTCCCGGACATGTTCTGGGGAAATTTTCATTAGCAACTGCTTGACTCACCAATACTGATAAAGTCATTGCAGGGAGATTGCAGGGAAGTTGTTCAGAATCCTGCTACTTGTCCAGAACTCGTCCGGGATATAAATTGAGGCCAGCCCTAAGGCCAAAAAAAAAAGTCTCCGGTTTCTGGTATGGAGCTTGCCCAAAAAGTGGTGCGGCGACGCAGCTTTTTTTTTTTTTTTACCTGATTTTTTTGCTTCAAATGTCGGCTGATGACTGCAAATGGTCCTCAACTAAACTTAGTGCAAATATATGGGAGTCCAGAGAGGCCACATAAAGCTTATTCTCGACCATAACCGAATCTAAAAACACGTTAAAATTGTGCAGCAGCAGGATTCCAGTCAAACCAGTGAGTTTGGCAGTTTTGAGACATCATCTTTCATTGAAAAAAAACTTTTTCATTTTGCCGACGCGCATGGCTACGGCGACACACGCCCATACCAGAAACCGGAGACTTTTTTTGTGGCCTAAGTTTGAGTTTTGTAGGCAGGCTGTGGGATTTTCTCCGGTTACATCATGGGCAATTCTGTAAATTCAGATGTTCAGTTCAGACACTTTAATGAGCTGCTGTTGGAAAAGTGAATGTGATACATCACTAATAATGTGACATCTAATGAGTAGAAAAACAATTACAGACCAAACTAAGGTGCCACCACCTTAACGACCTCGTACATGTACATCATGTGGTCGGTTCCAAGTTTGATTTAACAGAATTGCCCATCGCAGAAATAACTTAAAAGTTTAAGCTTTAAACTTGTTCAATATTCACAAAGAAAGTGATCAAAGCTACCCCTGTATTCGCCTCGCTATTTTGACTGATGGAAAGTTAATTTACATTTCTTTCGCCATTCTTCCGTCAGAGAGCACATTTCTTTTCTATTTTTCACCATATGGGAATGCAATGAAATTGAAAAGACAAAAAATTGATTACTGATTTTCCGTGCCATGGTGTACATTTGGATCGGCTGAGAACAATCCGTGCTCTTGAATATGAATCAATATAATAATTCCATAAATCTAATAATCTACTATATTCAATGCCTAAAAACTGTACATCACAATCTTATATTTCGTCTTAATAACAGTCCTCACAGGCAAAAATACATTTTATTGACAGGACAGCATTAGGTACAAGAAACTAGACTGACCCAAGGTTATATACAAAGAACGAATGGTGCAGAATCAATTCTCGGATGATTCAGTCGCCAAGAAACAGTCATTTTGGGGAATGGGTTCCCTTGTTTCTCCTTAGAATCTGAGCTTCCAACTTTTCCCATATCGAATCCGAGATCAGCAGCTGTTTAAAAAAAGGGACAAAAAGTGTGACGTTAAAATTCAGTTCATGTCATTGAATTTTTTTTGTATGTGTTCAATCTCACCAAATGTACAAAGTCTCTTGTTCTGGATGACACACTTTAAATCAACTTTTTTGATGGAAAAAAGGGCTCATTGATTTAATAAGAAGACCAATATGAGAGTACCGGTATACCACTTAATGCTCTCCGTTACAAATGATTTGATAGTAGCTGTGGTCTGGTATTAATTAAAGAAAATGCCCAATTTCAGATAAATTGTCCTTTTTGCTGAGAAAAGTTATGTTTGTTAACAGAAATGGGATTTTAAAATGTCCACTCCCGTATGTCGCTTAGCTTACCTCATACTTTTGACGTTTGCTGCCTTGACCGGATTGCAGACAGTTCTGTCTGCTCCTGTACTGGTTCTTGAGCAGCATCCCTTGGCCCAATTGCAGACTGTCTTATCTGCTCCTGTACTGGTTCTTGAGCAGCATCCCTTGGCCCAATGGAAGACAGTTCTATCTGCTCCTGTACTGGTTCTTGAGCAGCATCCTTTGGCCCAATAGCAGACAGTTCTATCTGCACCTGTCCAAGTTCTTGAGCAGCATCCCTTGGCCCAATTGCAGACAGTTCTATCTGCTTCTGTACTGGTTCTTGAGCAGCATCCCTTGGCCCAATTGCAGACTGTCCTATCTGCTCCTGTACTGGTTCTTGAGCAGCATCCCTTGGCCCAATGGAAGACAGTTCAATCTGCTCCTGTACTGGTTCTTGAGCAGCATCCTTTGGCCCAATAGCAGACAGTCCTATCTGCTCCTGTACTGGTTCTTGAGCAGCATCCCTTGGCCCAATTGCAGACAGTTCTATCTGCTCCTGTACTGGTTCTTGAGCAGCATCCCTTGGCCCAAAAGCAGACAGTTCTATCTGCTCCTGTACTGGTTCTTGAGCAGCATCCTTTAGCCCAATAGCAGACAGTTCTATCTGCACCTGTCCAAGTTCTTGAGCAGCATCCCTTGGCCCAATTGCAGACAGTTCTATCTGCTCCTGTACTGGTTCTTGAGCAGCATCCCTTGGCCCAATTGCAGATGGTTCTACATGTATGTGCAGCTCTACAACCTCTTCAGCAGCATCCCGTGGCCCAATAGCAGACAGTTCTCTCTGCTCTTGTTCAGGTACTTTGGCTGCAGCCCTTGGTCCATTTGTACGAAGCTCCCTCCGTTCTACCAAGGCGCCTTGCCTTTTTTGTGTTTTTCTTTTTTTGCAGCAGCGAGCAAGGTTTAAGAAAGAAAACGCTTCCACTACAGCAGCGCGATATGTGGAGTTGGTGGCATTGTAGACAAGGGGATTGATGGAACTGTTGATTGCACTCAAGATGACTGCAGCTGTAGTCACCTTAAATTGGAAATACATCTGATCCGGGTGAATATATTGTTTGAGAAAAATGATATGATAAGTGATAATCATTAAATTACAAAGAAAGAACACAGCAGTGTTAATGAGCAGCATGCAGACCACCTTGCCAAATTGCCGTGGATGTTGCTGTGAAGCCGGTGTGGAATGACCTAACTTGATCAACATGTAGATGTACGTAGATACAGTGATTGCAAAAGTTGATACATAAATTATCTGTGACAGTATATTGTCTATGAGAAAGATTGTGTTACAAGTTTTAGCATCATCTGAAGCAAATTGTGGGTTCATAAGAAGTGCTTTCGTAACTCCAAGGACAACTGATAGAACCCAAAGTCCTGCAGATATCTTGGCAGCCCGTGTTTTGGTGGCTGAAGACCTGAATGAAATCGGATGATGCACAGCTGAGAATCTTTCCACTGCTATGGCTGTCACAAAACAGAAAGAAGCACAACGCGCTGTTTCAAGCACTAACATAGATATAATACGAATTAAAATGTCATTGCCATACTCCGTAGGTGGTGATAATGATGCAATCAATGCTCGAATAAGGTAAAGAGAGTCCGCCACTGCCAGATTGGATAAGTAGACATTGACGATTGTGCGCATTGACTTCACACGAACAGCGACAAAGAGGAAGATGAAGTTCAGGATGATACCGAATGGTGCAATGATATCAGTAGCAAGGTGAATTGTATCAAGACCTTGCTGTGATCGATTGTATATTTCCTCAAATTCCTGTCCGTCTTGAACCGTAATGGTGTAGTTGTCTTCCATGGATTCTTTCATCTCCTCATGTGCATTCAATCACAGCTTGAAGTTTACTGATCTAAAGTCAAACTTCAGCCTGTTTAAGTTTGTTGGGTCTGATCATGCTCAGTTACTGAACAAATTCTCCACTGATGTTCATAAGGAAAGATGAGCCCAGACTATAACTTTCTCTGTGGCCTTGCTGCAGGAAGTTAAAAAAACCCACTTATTCAAACACCCTGGATGAGCATTAAGAAAAAAGATCTGGATTTGAAGGATCATTGTGTAATTAAGATGCTATAGTTTCTCAGTATCAGGTTATGTAGTCATTTTTTTATGTTTTATGTTCTTTGCCCGTAAACAAAAGTAAGTTTTCTTTTTGTGTTCTTTTATCCACATTTCCTGATGGTCGTATTTCTCTGTCTAGTTTTGGATTCTATTGCGTGCATCAGTGTCTTGTCTCATCTCCATTTCAGTTTCATTTGTCTAACATTACAGATCTTGGTGTCTCCATGCACCATTTCTTTACGCACTTTTCTTGGCCTTTCTTTGCGGGGAATATTTTTTGAATTGGGTAACTACGTTTGGTTTGGGAATTGAGTACAGTGCTAAGATGAGTTTACCATCAAGTAAATCAACCTTACCAAGAAATTGTGCATGGTTTGATCGTTTATCCAAAACAGTTACACATGGAGGTATCTCAAAACAAAAAAAACTTTGAAAAGCTACTTGAAAAATTGAAGTGAAATTTAAAGGTAGTATACAACATTTGCAAACATCAACAAGTTTTATATTTCATTTTAATAATAGTCTTCACTAGCAAAAATACATTATTTTGACATGACAGTATTAGGCTGAGAATCCATGTGTCGAATGCATTAAAATCAGTTGTTTGAAAAGCAATGCACATACTTCCATATGTTCGTATTGCGTATTGCCACTAGTTACTATTGGTGACTCAATCAGACAAAATACAATTTAGGAAACATGCCATGCACTCCCATGAAATGAATGAAAATCAGTTAGAGACTTTTCACTATTCTATATAATATGCAAGCAAATTTATTTCCACAGAATCCAAGCCAAAAAAAAAGTCCCAAGGGGTTTCAACAGCAATGCTGTTATTTTTCTTTTTTGCAACAAGGATTATTTCTACTTTTGGAAGGAATGGTAGCCCTGAAAAGGACTGTTTGTTTACTTCTTAGATGTTTACTGAGCTGCTCTGGCTCTGCCCTCTACTTGGTAGCCTCTTTCATGGAAACAAGTCTGGCATGGCAGGGTGTGTCGCTTGACTGAGAGTGAACATATTTAGCTTAATGAGCAGCTCTATATAAAGGAGATCGCAAGGACATTCCTTATTACACAACCTGACGTGAGCACTGCAAAAAAGCCACTGAAGCATATCATACAAAAACAAAAAGAAATTTTTCTTTGCTTCAGTTTTAAGCAAACTTACATCAGAGTTTAACCCATAATTAGATTCAAATATAAATACCACAAAGGTAACTGACTGTGCACATATGATAAAAAAAATAACAAGGATTACTGCCAACATACATGTAGTGCATGATAGCTATTGGTACAGCACCAGTTCAGTAGTTTGGAGGTCCAGGGTTCCAACCCCACTCCAGTCAATTTCTTTGTTCAACTTTTAAACCAAATCAGATTTTTAGAGTACCGGTACTCTCAATTAATCAGGCACTTCTTTCCAAATTGGGGATTCATCATCCCTTACAAACCACTTCTTATATTATGCATTTAGAAACATCTAGCCAATCCAGTAGCATGTTGTGAACCAACTCATGAATTATTCAAGCCTTTGCTCACAGGTTTTAGAGCTTGTGGCCAATCAGACCAGTGATCTGGAGCTTCTGTGCTCTGTGCACCAAAGAAAAGAAAAGTCACTCTTTTTCGAACACCCTGGATGAGCATTAACAAAAAAGATCTGGATTTGAAGGATCATTGTGTAATTAAGATGCATGTAGTTTCTCAGTATTAGGTACAATGTAGTCATTTTTTTATGTTTTATGTTCTTTGCCTGAAAACAAAAGTTACTTTTCTTTTTGTGTTCTTTTATCCACATTTCCTGATGGTCGTATTTCTCTGTCTAGTTTTGGATTCTATTGCGTGCAGCAGTGAATTGTCTCATCTCCATTTTCAGTTTCATTTGTCTAACATTATGGATCTTGGTGTCTCCATGTACCATTCCTTTACGCACTTTTTTGGCCTTTCTTTGCGGGGAATATTTCTGGATCTGGTTCTACTTTTGACTCTGGAATTTAGTACAGTGCTAAGATGAGTTTGCCATCAAGTAAATCAAAATTATCAAGAAATTGTGCATGGTTTGATCTTTTATCTCAACACCGTAAAAAACTTGGGAGGTCTCAAGTTTAAACCCCAGAATTAAATGCCATCTTAATAGAGAATTGATATTATACCAAAATCCAGTTCACTAAATTGTAACCTTAAATTTTCAGTCCTAAAGAAAATTAGTAATTATTTGATCTCCATGTCTTTAGCAAGATACTGTAATCTTACACTTGGTAAACAATGTTGAGATTTAATACAATCCTATAAAAGATGAATCAACATGAAAATTGTGACAGATAATACAAAACAAAATTTGAACCCACGGTAAGGAGTTTCTTTACTCGAATATCAGAGATTCTGCATGTAACACAAGGCTGTTCAATAACTTCAGCAATTTTTAGGCAATGGCACACTGGATTAAATTTAGTAAAACAAAATTCTGTTCAAGGGTCTGGCAAATTTTCGTCTCAACTTTCGGTCTCAACTGACTGGACCGTAAGAGACACTAACAAAAATGTCAAGCTCCACTTTTTTTTATGAGGTCTCTAGAGAGATACTAATATACATGTATATAGGCATATATTTTTTTATTTACGTTAGTATGATACATGGCAATAATACCAGGGAATTTCATAGCATTTGGAACAAATGCATGGATCCTACGAAACCCATTTTATTAATTTTTTTTTGGGGGGGGGGGGCGGTAGGGGGTGGCTGAGGGACACCATTCAGCAAGACGTTAATTCCTTTTTTCCCTATTTTTTTCTCCTTTATGTATACGACTTTTATGTTTTTGTATGTGCTCACTTTATGTTTGAACTTACTACATTTATAAACTCTACCTGGGATCTCATTGTTTGCATTATTCCAAATACATGTAGTGTACTTTGACCGCAGTCTCGGGTGCTCCACTACAGAAGGCCAGTCCTTCTCTGGATGCCACCCCCATTCATGCTGTATTGTTCTGCTTTTTCTATTTTGATACACTTGTTTTGATCATTAATCTTTATTCATTGTATGTTTGAAGTATGAATGGAAATAAAACAAACAAACAAAACAAACAAACCAATGACAAAGTTTCTTGATATCCTCACATATACTCCCTCCCATGTAATTGGTAACAATGTGGCCCTCCGCTAAATTTCTAAAAGCAGCCATCCATTATGAGGTCTATGGGCAGTTGCGTCCCTCCCCCCAACCCAACGGTCATCCCCCATCCCCCACTCGTGGACACAGTCTGGCGTGGCACGGTGCGTTGCTTGACTGAGAGTGAACGCTTTGAACTAAAGAAGTATGTAAAGGAGATCACATAGACATTCCCTATAACATAACCTGACAATTTGAGCGCCCCAAAAAAGCCAGTGGAGCATTTCATTCGAAAACTAAAAGTTGCTTCAATATTAAGCAAACTTACATCAGAATTTTAACCCCATAAATTTTAAACCCATAATTGGATTCAAAATATAAATACCACAAAGGGAAAGTAATGCTGCACATAAAAACAAACTTAGTTTAACTAGGAACTGCCACGCAGCAGTGGGCTTGATAGCTCAATTGGAGGAGCATGTTGATCAGGGACTTTTTCCCATATTGGGATTCATCATCCCCAGCAAAGCAAAACATTTTTCTCTTTATTATGCATTTAAAAACATCTGGCCAATCCAGCTCGGCATGTTGTTACCCAACTCATGAATTATTCACGCTTTTGTCACAGGTTTTAGAGCTTGTAGCCAATCAGATCAGTGATCTGGAGCCCCTGTGCAACAAGCCGCCACCCACTTTGAACCACCTGGGCCTGGGTCTCAACAGAATCTCTGCCCTCCATGATTACATCACAGGAGCCCACTGGTAAGCTTGAAACAAGTGACAGAACTTGAGTTAGAGAAATAGCGCAGTGCCATTTTTTAAAACTCGGCATCAACCCTGGCTGTGGCTTCATTTGGGATCCAGAGTCATTTTTGACACATTTAGCGTGGGAACCTGAACAAAATAAATCCTTACCTAGTCCCCACAATAGAAAATTATTGTTTCTGTTGTAAAGAAATGGAGCTGCATTGAGCAGAATGGTATTTTAGTCGTGGCTTAAAAAAATTGTTAAGCCGAAATGTGCAGCCAAAGCTTGAAGCAAACCAAGGTTTGAAAAAGCCTCCAAGTATGGACTATCTTGTTGTGCTAGATTAGAAATGGTGCAGTGTTGGCTAATTTGACTTGAAACTGGATTACATGTACTTGTGATTATCTTGTGGTTGGCATGCCATTGACTTGTGATTAACTAATGATTGACTTGTGATTGACTTATGATTCACCTGCGATCAGCTTGTGATGGACCTGTGATGGACATGTGACATACTTGTGATGGACTTTGTTGACTTTGCGAAGTCGACTTGTGTATGTCATGTGAGTGGCTTGTAAATGACTTTTGATCGACTTATGATTGACTTATGTGATTAACTTGTGATTGACATGTGTTTGTCATGTGATTGACTTGTGACTGACTAGTGATTGACTTGGGATTGACATGCAATTGAATTGTGGTTGACTTGCGATAGACATGTGATTGACTCAATGATATTTTTTGTGTTTTTTATTCTTAGGCCAAATCTACTATCGTTGGACCTTAGTCATAACAATCTCTGTGATTTGGTCGAGGTGGTACAGACACTAGCGACGCTCCCTAAACTCAGGAATCTTGTCTTGGTGGGCAACCCTCTGGCAGTAAGTAATTTCAAAAGAAATATTGATTTAAAAATGTCCTTGTTATATTTACAAACATATCCATTTAAAATACAACATTTGTGCCACTCGTTTATTTAGTTGATTCCAGGTTATCGCGGATTCATCGTTGACAGTCTCCGTAGCTTGTCCATTCTGGACGATCTGGGCATCTCCGCTGACGAGAAGCACCACTTCAAAGGACTGGCGAGAAAACTGGGTAAATTCACGTATGCGTGGGGACAGGCAATGGCCTCACAGCTTCTGAGATTTCATTGGTTGCAATGCATTGTGGGAAATTTGTTTTGACGTGATCTTGGTGATGGGCTCTGTTCATGAACAGTAGGTGGCGCTTTGGGGTTATTTCCATAACTCTTGTGTATGAGCACTGGTCCCAATTTCATAGCGCTGCTTAACAGCCAACTTTGTGCTTACCGAGCCTTCATCTATTTCATAGGGACCGTTAAGCTGTAAGCACAGCAAAAACACGCTTAACCCCAGAAGAAAACTTTGCTTAAAGGAAATGTACATCATTGGCTTTTGCTTTAATTTTCAGAAATGAACTATTTGAGGGGTTAGTATAATAGATCAAATTATTGTTGCACTGACATGTTTGAAGTTTTGTGTTCGGAAATGCTGAAAAAACCAAGAAAAAACAAAAATGTTCAAGTAGTCTGGTTCCCTGACTCCACTGAATATTAAATGATTCAATTTACAGATGCCGGAAAATTGTACGGTAAGGGAACCAGTCTAGCTGGCCAGCCCCCATTCATGAACATGCAACCAATAGGAAACAAAATTTGGACTAAAGAAAAAATGCTAAATTGGGAGCAGCAGTTGAAATATAGTTAGGTTTTTCCAACGGTGGTCGGCCGACCACCGTTGGAAATGTATACAATAATGCCATTTACTTGAAAATGACTCCACACCAGGTGCCATAATTTTACAGGATGCTTTAGACTGTCATTTACCAACATCCTGTAAGGTATTTCGTAAAAACTTGGTAGTTTTATTTTTCGATGCTTGCAAATGTTGTAATTTCCCTTTAAATCACTGACGTAACAATACAAATAACCATGCGCGTGCAACCGCTAGCACATCCACGCCATGTAATAGTGCTTAAGCAGCAGCCTGATTTTCTGTTATAGTAAGCACAACTTTTCTGCTTACTGTTAAGCAGTGCTATGAAATTGGGCCCTGATCAGTGCACACAGTGCGATGTACGCACTTCTAATTTTGTATCTGCATACACGCACAAACTCATCTACCATGAATATTCATGCCATGTAAGTAAAGTCACTACTATGAATATTCATGCAATGTAAATAATCCCAACCATGAATATTCATGCCTTTATTACCATCAAAAATGAAGCTAGTACACTATGAATCGTTATGCCATCAAAAATGAAACCAGGCATTGTCATGAATATTCATGTATCAAAATCAAGTCATGAATATTTGTGCCGTCACTAACCATTAAAAATGAAGCAAATGCTGTGAATAATCATTCCTTAACTATGATATCAAACAGTACAAGATTTCCTTTTTGTTTTGCTATTCACAGAGTTTATTTTGGACGAATCGAAAGTGACTGTCAAGGTTGGCATGGTAACAGGAATACCGATGCCACCAGAACTTCAGGTAAAAAGAAACTGTGAAATTGTTTTTCTTAACTGTTTTCACTTTGTTTTTTATACCATTTTTTACTAGCTTACAGAATAGAAATTTGTCTAAATTTATTTCATGACAAGGCCTTCGCGGGAAAATCTAAAACCTTTTTGTATAAAATTATATTTCCTAACCTACCAAATGTGATCATTATTTAAAGGGAATATACATCATTTGCTTTTACTATAATTTTCAGAAATGGATGGAATTGGGGGGTTGGAAATATATGGCAAATATAGTTACACTGACTTTTTTGAGGTTTTGGGTTCGAAAATGCTTTAAAAACCTAGAAAAACAATCCTTTTCCTGTAGTCTGGTTCCCTGACTCCATATAAGAAGAAACAGAGCAGTTTACATACATTGGGGAATTGTAAGGTCAGGGAACCAGTCTAGCTGGCTCGTACCCGTTCATAGGTTTGTAATCGATTGCAAACAAGTGCGATGGTCAATTGGGGCCAGTATTTGAGAAAAAAAAAACCCAGTTTTTTCCAACGCTGATCGGCCGATCAGCGTTGGAAATTGATACAAAAATACCACTTTTCTTGAAAATGACAGTATACCAGGTGCCATGATTTTACAGGATGCTTTACACTGTCATTCACTAACAGTCCAGCAAGGTATTTTATAATGATTTGGTAGTTTCATATTTTGATGTTTGCAAATGTTGTATTTTCCCTTTAAACAGTGTAAGATGGTTGAATGAATGCAGGACACTGTAGGTAGAAAGTGAACTGTAAAATTGACAGTGTCACTTTCAAGGTGAATTCTTAGTTGCATGTTATATTGTGCACTACCTTTATTCTACAGTGCTGTATAAGTCCCTGTCATCTGATCAGTGGGTCATTGATCACGTGCCATTGAATTATTCGTCCCAACGCACAGCGCGGTCGCACGGCGAAAATAGAAGTTCCATTCCACGGTAAATGGAAGTTCCATTGCATGGTTACACTTTTGGCAGCTCTGACCAACCAGATGCAAGGATTTATTCAGGCTTGTACTCTACTCCCAACCCAGGGGGATTTAAAAGTTGTCATGCACTACAACTTACTTGGTCATTACATCAAGGCCTTTCCTTGCCACGCCCAGACAAAACCTGCACAGCCCTCCATAGACAACCTATCCCTAGCACAGCACCCAACAGACTGAAGCACACGTGGCTAGTTCAAATTCCATGCACATGGGGCTTACAATAGAATTATGCAAATAAGATGCTGCATGCCTGGCTGGACTGATACACACTCAGCTCAGGGGTGTGGTGGATGAGAGGGGCAGGCTAAACCAAAATAGAAGGTGGGGAGGAAGGTAATGATGAAGGGCTATTTTCATTACAATAGTTTCACATTCGTGCAATGGAAAGAATATCTCATGTGGTGACAGAGGGAATGTTCCATTATATGGAATGGAACATTCCATCTGTCATCTCATGAAATTATTCTTACCGTTGCACTCACAAACATACATTAATTGTATGTAAAAATCAGTGTACTGGAATACCCCTTCCTAGAAGGGGAAAAACTCTCACATTTCAACATAACAAATTTGCTTTGAAGACGACAGAAGAACTGCCGGAGTTTCCCATTGTGACTCGCACATACTACGTGGAGTACATGTTCCTGGAGGATTTCCAGGCTAGGACCAGCTCCCCCCTTAGTAAAGACGTCTCGTCACCCAGGGCGGACAAAGAAAACGTCGAACAGGAGAAGGAAGACGCGGTAAAAACTTTGCGTTTTTTTTCTTTTAGAGTTGAAACAAGCAGAGAGTAAAAAAAATGTCATGGGGTGGGGGGGGGGGGGTAGTGTGGGTGGGTTCAGGTATTAGCTGGGGAGTAAACCTGCGATGGACTAGCATCCTATCTAGGGGAATAGAAATATTCTCAGTTGTTTATATATCAAGAAAACTCGAGATAACTCGAGATAAACGTTGGCTTGAAGAACCGTATTCGCATGGGTCAGACTTAATTACTTCTGCTAAAACTGGGACAAAAACAATTCACAATTCACTAAATTTTGATGACAGTTTCTGTTTCAAGAACTATTGTCAATTAGGGCGTTACCCGATTACCGTATTTTTTTCCCGTTTCGTTTGCTCTCATACTAATAGGCTCAAGCGCCAGAAATCGTCATCGACAACCAACAGGACACAACTACCGATCAAGGTACGTGTAGTGATTTATAATTTTATCAAAAGTGATGAAGGGGATAATGGTGTGATGGGCCAGTTAAAAACATGTGGTTTAAAATGAGGTAGGGGCCTTGCCACCGATAATGGCCCGATCTAAGTTATCGGCAACCAGGCCTCTAACCGGTTTGAAACATCACGTTTAAACTGCTGCGTCGCACTATTATCCCCATTCATAGACACCATTTCAATCAAAGGCTAACAAAAAGTCAAAAAAAATTGGCAAAAATTCAAACATTTTGTTGTATCATTTTACTCTATGTTTAGATCAGGCCACTTCTGGTGTGTGGAGAGCATACCAGCGTTTCTCAAGCAATGATTATTTTTTTTGCGTACTGTGAAATGAGTGCCCTCACATTGGCCGAGTGAGTAAGCCTAAGAGCGCCCTCTGCTTTTCATGCACAGAACCATTGTATACATTGTAATTTCAACCAACAGCTGTGCCAGTCCCGGAAGGTACCTTCTTCACCGAAGCAGATGAGGACCCTGCTAAACCTCCCCCGTCGGCCACTAATGGTACAGACCACTCCCCATCGCCACCACCACCCCTTAAGCTCGTACCATACCGGACAGAGGGGTTGAATTGGTCGGAGGAGGGGCTGGAGTTTGCCTGGGAGCAGGAGTTGGTGATTGACGATTTGCCAGCACTGAAGGAATTCTTCAAGCGAGGAATGCAGATCGCTGTTAAAGAGGATAAGGTATTTACTGAACATCTCATTGTTTTATAATTCTCATTAGGGTGTTCATTTGCGAGTAATGTATTATTTGATTTACTCGAGACTGCATTTGACCAAATATTCAGATATTGAGATATTTCCAATTTGTTTTGTATTATTTGCCTTCTTTTATTCAAGGTGTTGTCTGTGCCAGCTGAAGAAGGTGAGGAGAGGGCCAGTGAGGCTGGCAAGAAGGGCGCAGGAGCGGGGCCCAAATCGGCCAAAACGGGCAAAGACAGCAAGAGCGAGAAGGCAGACAAGCCAAAAGTGAGTCAGACGTACAAACTTCTCTGTCAGTTTCAGTATCTAGTTTTTTGTGTGTGGTCAAACTGTTGCGAGGGAAATTTTCCTTATGGAGTCCGTGCACAAGCACCCCACCAATGGCCAGAAAAGGAGAGTTGGGGGTGACCTAGACTGGTTCCCTATCCATCCACTGTGTATTTTGAATATATCCAAAGTTATTGGAGGTGAGGATTAGACTTGGAGACCATCGCAAGTTGAATTCGAACGTATTGGCGCGCCGACGATGCCAGGCGCTCACGCGAAGGCGCGATGGCTATAGCTTTTGCACATGCAGGAAGTCGTGCATACTTGGCGTGAACCAGTACAGTATATGCGCACGCTGTTGTCCCGTCCATGGAGCTGTCAAAAGAGGTCAAAATGCGCCCTCTTTTGTTAGCGCACGCAGCCCATAGGCTAATGGCATCTCAGTTATTTATAGACACTGCATGAACAGATGTAGATGCGCACAATGAAATAACCACACAAAATGGTGATATAACCAGAATATTTTTCTAAGCCACATACGTATCCCATACTCGCAGCATTTCTAATGGATGGTATTTTATTCTGAGTGTACACACACTTGTAGCGTCGTCGTGTCTGTACATGGTTCCTTATGGTTACTTCTTCTTTTTTCCTAAATCGTATAGGAGAAAGCAGGTGGCGGGAAGAAGAAGAAGAAAGAACCAGAGATTGAGCTGCTGCACTCCCCACCAGAGGTCACCGTCCTGGGTTGTACACTGTAGACTTGGCAGGATTCGTGGAGGGAGACTACCACGTTGAAGAGACGTGCACCTGTGGGGGAGGGGCCTTGGATGCGGGGGAGGAGGAGGAAGAAGAAAAGAAAGATGATGGCTTGGACTCCAAGAAGGTGGATAATTGTCACTCAGCAATTTTCAAAAAATTACTTTATAGCAATTTTTTTTTTTTTTTTTTTTTTAGAATATTAGCATATGACCAGAAATCTGCTAAGATGTTGCTTAGAAAATATTTAAAAAAATAATGCTTAGCCAAAGATGGTACTAAGCAGTATTTACATTGCCCAGCAACTTAATTTTCCAAGCAGGAATCAAAGAAGAACCAGTCACAAAGTTTTCATGAAGCACCTTCTTAAAATTTGCCAATGAACTTGTAAAGCAAGGAGCTGCTAACCACAGAAATATTTAATGTGGGATGAATGCCAATTGACAACCATTTTTTTTTTCAGGACAAGAAGAAGAAAAAGGAAAGTGGAGACACTTCCAAAGCTAAGAAGGGGAAAGACAGCAAGGACAAAGACAAGACAAGGACAAAGGTGGGACATATTTGGGTCTGTTGGTTTGTTTGATTGTTTGTTTTCTTTTTTGTTTTACTTCAAATATTGAACATTGTGTGGTCTTTGGTTGGCTTTTTAAAGGGCATGGAATTTGCACATGGAAGACTTTTTGGCATTTTTTACCATTTTTTTTTCAGGCAAGAAACCTGGCAAACCTGAGAAGAAGGACTCCAAGGCAAAGCGACCGGAATCTCAAGCCAGCGATGACGAGGAGAGACAGACTCCACCCCCTCCGCTGAATGTACACTTCCAGGTAAGATAAACTCCACCCCTCCACTATAAATTTACACAACTAGGTAAGATAGACTCCACCTCTTTCACTGAATGCATACATCCAGGTTAGATAGACTCCACCCCTCCACTGAATGCATACATCCAGGTTAGATAGACTCCACCCTCTCCACTGAATGTATACATCCAGGTTAAATAGACTCCACCCCTCCACTGAATGCATACATCCAGGTTAGATAGACTCCACCCTCTCCACTGGATGTATACATCCAGTTAAGATAGACTCCACCCTCTCCACTGAATGTATACATCCAGGTAAGATAGACTCCACCCCTCCACTGAATGTATACATCCAGTTTAAATAGACTCCACCCCTCCACTGAATATATACATCCAGGTTAGATAGACTCCACCCCCTCCACTGGATGTATACATCCAGTTTAGATAGACTCCACCCCTCCATTGGATGTATACATCCAGTTTAGATAGACTCCACCCCCTCCACTGAATGTATACATTCAGGTAAGATAGACTCCACCCCCTCCACTGAATGTATACATGCAGGTAAGATAGACTCCACCCCCTCCATTGAATGTACACATCTAGGTATTAGATAGACCCGACCACCTCCACTGAATGTATATACATCCAAGTAAGATAGATTCCACCCCTCCACTGAGACTCAAACTTCTCCCCTTCCACTGAATGTACAAATTCAGGAAAGTTTTAATCCAACCCCTCTTTTGAATGCACATTCAGGTAAGATAAACTCTGCCCCTTACTCTTACTGGCACATCCAGGTAAGACTCCTCCCCGTCAACTGAATGTACACATCCCTTTGATATTGACTCAGCCCACTGCTCGACTTAATTTAAATATCCAGTTAAAATATACTATGCCCTCTTCTGAATATGTTATGTTAGGTATCTGCCCTCTACTGAATATGTAATGTTAGGTATCTTCAATTCAGTCACCAACCCTCCCTGATTTTATGGTTAAACTCTGCCCCTCCACTGAATTGTAGCATTTGATTTGACTCCACCCCTCAACATGCTCAGTTAGTCTGCAATATTGATGCTGTATGTATTTGTGTAATTCTCTACAGGTTGAGCTTCATCGCTGGTTGACCGCCAGGGATTCCATCCCCAAACCACCGGTGGTCAAACAACCAGAGGACGATGGTGGGAAGAGTGAGGCGGGGACACAAGGATAAATGGGAGGGGCTTGTCAAGAGACAAAGGGATAGAAAGAAGGGAAATGTCAGGTTAAAGATGATAGAGAGAAGAGTGAGACAGGAATTTAAGTGAATGCGTATCAAGACAGACGATGATGGGAGATTTGACGAAATGTGGGAGTGGCTTGTCAAAAATAAGATGATGGGCGGGAGGGGGGGGGGGGACTCAAGGAAAGGTGGGCCAGTCAAGATGATGGAAATTGGGAAGGTTGAAGTGGGAAGCAAGGTTGGGAGGGAGGGAGGGAGGGGCATATCTCATGAGGAAAGATTATGGAAGGATGCTTGGTAGAACTGTGCTGTGAATAAAGTAAAGGAGGAGGGGCTTGTGAAAGGAAGATGAAACTGGAAGGGTTGGGCTGAAGATACAAGGGTGTTATGAAAAATTAGAGGATGGTGGGAGGAGCTGGGACAGGGATGAGTTGGAGGGGCAAAAGGGAAGATGGGATAAATGCAGGAATAGGGGGATAAGTGGGAGGAGCTTGATACATGGGAGGGGTATAGCAAGATGAATATGGACTGTTCATGAGTCGAGGACTAAGGAATAGGTGGGAACACAAAGATAAATGGTAGGTGCATTTTAAGCCGGGCATCTTGAGATGGTAAAGGAATATGATGGGACGTACTAGGAAACAATTAAAATGGATAGTTGAAGGGGAACATTTGTATTACATTCCGTCTACAAATCTTTTTGTACATTTTTTTTAAATTAAATGTACACTTTGAAGCACATTCTGTACAAAGGTTTATCTCTAAGATGTTTTTTGTTGTTTATTAAATGTGTTGCTGAAGAATTGTACATATTTTTTGAAAATAAATGTGATTCAAACGATATAGCACATGCACAAGAATTGTCTGCAAATATCTGAGTTACTGTACTTTATAAAATTTTGACCAAAAAAAATGAAGCTGCTTGAAATTTGAAGGGTATATGCCTGAATGCCTTTAAAACTCATTTCTATTGCATTTTCGTCAGATGAGCCTTTAAATGTGTCAACATTTTTGGGAAAAATCAGTCAATTCTTTTTTAATAAATCAATGGATTTTGCCCAAATGTTTTCAATAATTGGTATTTCAATACGGGTATTTCCCGCGCGCAGAAATGTAGAAAGTTGGCCAAATGTAATTTAAAAAGTAACATGTTTTCAGTTCTGGAATGTATTTTGTTTATTTGCAAACATGACAAAAAATGGAATGTTTTGGAATGTTTGAAAAACTTTGAATTTTTTTCCCTTCAGTTTTGGCCAAAATGAAATTGGGTGAAACTTGCATTTCTAGTCCGTCTTTTGACAGATATTCAAAATATTCAAGATAATTCAAAAAAAAATCGGGGGAAATCGTTCGTCCCCCCGCCCCCCCCGGCGTATTTTTTTGACAAATGTTTTTTTGTCAGCAATGATTTAAAGTGTTAGTTCTTGTGACATCAATCCCATAAACGAAAACCCGCTCAACAACCATTACAATGCGCCGTGAAAATGCCCATATAATATATAGTATTATACATAATAATGGTCAGTTTTGAAGAGCCTCCGCCCCCTTTGGAAAATGGGTGCCAGCCCCCCCCCCCCCCCCCCCTTTTGATTTTACGGAGGGCAAGGGTCCGGAGAAAAAAACAGGCGACATTTCGGCGCAGATGTGCGGTTGCCCCCCCCCCCCCCCCCCCCCCCCCCCGACATCAAAAGCTGGATACGCTGCTGATTGGCGGGCACATATAGTTTTCGAAAACCGGCACAACAGTCCAAGTAAGTTTGCTACGTTTGGCCATGAAATCTAACCACTGGCCTTCAAAGGTTACGTAAATTGACTTAACTACTGTATGTACTTCAGAAGATGATGCAGTTATTGAGGACACGGTTCGAAATTTTAACTTTTCAAAGAACTTAATCCGTCAGTGATCTTTGACCTTTGTTGATTTTCTGAGGTGGGCGTGGTTACAGTTTGACTATGCACTCAATATTTGAAGGATTGAGAGACAGTCAAAAAGAATTTCAGCTAGATACAAAATTTAACGTATTTTAATTCAGTATATATTAAGTAGCACAAAGTCTTTGTAATTTTTGCGTAGGAACAACATTTCAACATATCGGGAGTTAATTAAATAATAGGGCCTGCAAACCAAATTTTTCGCGCTCTTTTAATTACGCATATTTCAGGTGATGCCATGCGAATGTCATAAGTTTTCTTAGATTCACTATCATCATATCTTAGATTCACTATCATCATTTAGACATCAAGTCTAAAAAAAAAAGAAGAAGAAGAAGAAGAAGAAGAAAGAACGGTCAATAGACTGTAACCCCAGACATATTTTTATTTTATTCAAAACTACTTCGCGGAAGATTACTGTGATAGGGCCCTGGCGTAGAAAATTGGTTCGCGTCGCTGAAGTGTACCAGCTGTGATAAGGCACTTTCCAAAATGACTGGTCCGCGCCCCAATGCTGTTGAAATCACAGCGATGCGGGGAGCCAGGGACCATGTGACTGCATGCGTATATATGCCCCACCCGAATTTTCCGCGTGGTTGTTTCACGCACTCGAAGTTGGCGGGCACATGGGCTGGAAACCGTTACAACGTTCAAAGTAAGTTTGCCACTTTTACCCCAAAAACCTAACAATTTGGCTGTCAAGAATTTAGTAGAAATGACTGCACTACTATAGGCACTTGTGAAATTGACGGCACAGCAAACTCCGCGTTGGAAATTTGAACTTTTGGAGGACGAAAATCGTCAGTGGTTTTACCATTCAATTTTCTGAGGTGGGCGTGGTTACAATTTAAGGGGTCCAGGCGCAGTTCTAGAGCCAATTTTTTTTCGCAGTGGCTATTGTTACGGCAGCCGTAACGCATTTCCTACTATCGTTACGGTAGACTGCAACTTTTATAAAAACATGAGAAGAAAATATAAAATTAGAAGGAAAAAAGTGAATTTGAACGTTTTGAAATTCGGACTTATTTCCCTTTTAAAAAAATCCTCCAAAGCCTCGGGTTAGAAAAGGAAAAAAATTCGAGTGCAAAACTGAAATGCGAACCCGACAGAGGGAATGTTCCATTATATGGAATGGAACATTCCATCTGTCATCTCATGAAATTATTCTTACCGTTGCACTCACAAACATACATTAATTGTATGTAAAAATCAGTGTACTGGAATACCCCTTCCTAGAAGGGGAAAAACTCTCACATTTCAACATAACAAATTTGCTTTGAAGACGACAGAAGAACTGCCGGAGTTTCCCATTGTGACTCGCACATACTACGTGGAGTACATGTTCCTGGAGGATTTCCAGGCTAGGACCAGCTCCCCCCTTAGTAAAGACGTCTCGTCACCCAGGGCGGACAAAGAAAACGTCGAACAGGAGAAGGAAGACGCGGTAAAAACTTTGCGTTTTTTTTCTTTTAGAGTTGAAACAAGCAGAGAGTAAAAAAAATGTCATGGGGGTGGGGGGGGGGGGGGGGTAGTGTGGGTGGGTTCAGGTATTAGCTGGGGAGTAAACCTGCGATGGACTAGCATCCTATCTAGGGGGAATAGAAATATTCTCAGTTGTTTATATATCAAGAAAACTCGAGATAACTCGAGATAAACGTTGGCTTGAAGAACCGTATTCGCATGGGTCAGACTTAATTACTTCTGCTAAAACTGGGACAAAAACAATTCACAATTCACTAAATTTTGATGACAGTTTCTGTTTCAAGAACTATTGTCAATTAGGGCGTTACCCGATTACCGTATTTTTTTCCCGTTTCGTTTGCTCTCATACTAATAGGCTCAAGCGCCAGAAATCGTCATCGACAACCAACAGGACACAACTACCGATCAAGGTACGTGTAGTGATTTATAATTTTATCAAAAGTGATGAAGGGGATAATGGTGTGATGGGCCAGTTAAAAACATGTGGTTTAAAATGAGGTAGGGGCCTTGCCACCGATAATGGCCCGATCTAAGTTATCGGCAACCAGGCCTCTAACCGGTTTGAAACATCACGTTTAAACTGCTGCGTCGCACTATTATCCCCATTCATAGACACCATTTCAATCAAAGGCTAACAAAAAAGTCAAAAAAATTGGCAAAAATTCAAACATTTTGTTGTATCATTTTACTCTATGTTTAGATCAGGCCACTTCTGGTGTGTGGAGAGCATACCAGCGTTTCTCAAGCAATGATTATTTTTTTTGCGTACTGTGAAATGAGTGCCCTCACATTGGCCGAGTGAGTAAGCCTAAGAGCGCCCTCTGCTTTTCATGCACAGAACCATTGTATACATTGTAATTTCAACCAACAGCTGTGCCAGTCCCGGAAGGTACCTTCTTCACCGAAGCAGATGAGGACCCTGCTAAACCTCCCCCGTCGGCCACTAATGGTACAGACCACTCCCCATCGCCACCACCACCCCTTAAGCTCGTACCATACCGGACAGAGGGGTTGAATTGGTCGGAGGAGGGGCTGGAGTTTGCCTGGGAGCAGGAGTTGGTGATTGACGATTTGCCAGCACTGAAGGAATTCTTCAAGCGAGGAATGCAGATCGCTGTTAAAGAGGATAAGGTATTTACTGAACATCTCATTGTTTTATAATTCTCATTAGGGTGTTCATTTGCGAGTAATGTATTATTTGATTTACTCGAGACTGCATTTGACCAAATATTCAGATATTGAGATATTTCCAATTTGTTTTGTATTATTTGCCTTCTTTTATTCAAGGTGTTGTCTGTGCCAGCTGAAGAAGGTGAGGAGAGGGCCAGTGAGGCTGGCAAGAAGGGCGCAGGAGCGGGGCCCAAATCGGCCAAAACGGGCAAAGACAGCAAGAGCGAGAAGGCAGACAAGCCAAAAGTGAGTCAGACGTACAAACTTCTCTGTCAGTTTCAGTATCTAGTTTTTTGTGTGTGGTCAAACTGTTGCGAGGGAAATTTTCCTTATGGAGTCCGTGCACAAGCACCCCACCAATGGCCAGAAAAGGAGAGTTGGGGGTGACCTAGACTGGTTCCCTATCCATCCACTGTGTATTTTGAATATATCCAAAGTTATTGGAGGTGAGGATTAGACTTGGAGACCATCGCAAGTTGAATTCGAACGTATTGGCGCGCCGACGATGCCAGGCGCTCACGCGAAGGCGCGATGGCTATAGCTTTTGCACATGCAGGAAGTCGTGCATACTTGGCGTGAACCAGTACAGTATATGCGCACGCTGTTGTCCCGTCCATGGAGCTGTCAAAAGAGGTCAAAATGCGCCCTCTTTTGTTAGCGCACGCAGCCCATAGGCTAATGGCATCTCAGTTATTTATAGACACTGCATGAACAGATGTAGATGCGCACAATGAAATAACCACACAAAATGGTGATATAACCAGAATATTTTTCTAAGCCACATACGTATCCCATACTCGCAGCATTTCTAATGGATGGTATTTTATTCTGAGTGTACACACACTTGTAGCGTCGTCGTGTCTGTACATGGTTCCTTATGGTTACTTCTTCTTTTTTCCTAAATCGTATAGGAGAAAGCAGGTGGCGGGAAGAAGAAGAAGAAAGAACCAGAGATTGAGCTGCTGCACTCCCCACCAGAGGTCACCGTCCTGGGGTTGTACACTGTAGACTTGGCAGGATTCGTGGAGGGAGACTACCACGTTGAAGAGACGTGCACCTGTGGGGGAGGGGCCTTGGATGCGGGGGAGGAGGAGGAAGAAGAAAAGAAAGATGATGGCTTGGACTCCAAGAAGGTGGATAATTGTCACTCAGCAATTTTCAAAAAATTACTTTATAGCAATTTTTTTTTTTTTTTTTTTTTTAGAATATTAGCATATGACCAGAAATCTGCTAAGATGTTGCTTAGAAAATATTTAAAAAAATAATGCTTAGCCAAAGATGGTACTAAGCAGTATTTACATTGCCCAGCAACTTAATTTTCCAAGCAGGAATCAAAGAAGAACCAGTCACAAAGTTTTCATGAAGCACCTTCTTAAAATTTGCCAATGAACTTGTAAAGCAAGGAGCTGCTAACCACAGAAATATTTAATGTGGGATGAATGCCAATTGACAACCATTTTTTTTTTCAGGACAAGAAGAAGAAAAAGGAAAGTGGAGACACTTCCAAAGCTAAGAGGGGAAAGACAGCAAGGACAAAGACAAAGACAAGGACAAAGGTGGGACATATTTGGGTCTGTTGGTTTGTTTGATTGTTTGTTTTCTTTTTTGTTTTACTTCAAATATTGAACATTGTGTGGTCTTTGGTTGGCTTTTTAAAGGGCATGGAATTTGCACATGGAAGACTTTTTGGCATTTTTTACCATTTTTTTTTCAGGCAAGAAACCTGGCAAACCTGAGAAGAAGGACTCCAAGGCAAAGCGACCGGAATCTCAAGCCAGCGATGACGAGGAGAGACAGACTCCACCCCCTCCGCTGAATGTACACTTCCAGGTAAGATAAACTCCACCCCTCCACTATAAATTTACACAACTAGGTAAGATAGACTCCACCTCTTTCACTGAATGCATACATCCAGGTTAGATAGACTCCACCCCTCCACTGAATGCATACATCCAGGTTAGATAGACTCCACCCTCTCCACTGAATGTATACATCCAGGTTAAATAGACTCCACCCCTCCACTGAATGCATACATCCAGGTTAGATAGACTCCACCCTCTCCACTGGATGTATACATCCAGTTAAGATAGACTCCACCCTCTCCACTGAATGTATACATCCAGGTAAGATAGACTCCACCCCTCCACTGAATGTATACATCCAGTTTAAATAGACTCCACCCCTCCACTGAATATATACATCCAGGTTAGATAGACTCCACCCCCTCCACTGGATGTATACATCCAGTTTAGATAGACTCCACCCCTCCATTGGATGTATACATCCAGTTTAGATAGACTCCACCCCCTCCACTGAATGTATACATTCAGGTAAGATAGACTCCACCCCCTCCACTGAATGTATACATGCAGGTAAGATAGACTCCACCCCCTCCATTGAATGTACACATCTAGGTATTAGATAGACCCGACCACCTCCACTGAATGTATATACATCCAAGTAAGATAGATTCCACCCCTCCACTGAGACTCAAACTTCTCCCCTTCCACTGAATGTACAAATTCAGGAAAGTTTTAATCCAACCCCTCTTTTGAATGCACATTCAGGTAAGATAAACTCTGCCCCTTACTCTTACTGGGCACATCCAGGTAAGACTCCTCCCCGTCAACTGAATGTACACATCCCTTTGATATTGACTCAGCCCACTGCTCGACTTAATTTAAATATCCAGTTAAAATATACTATGCCCTCTTCTGAATATGTAATGTTAGGTATCTGCCCTCTACTGAATATGTAATGTTAGGTATCTTCAATTCAGTCACCAACCCTCCCTGATTTTATGGTTAAACTCTGCCCCTCCACTGAATTGTAGCATTTGATTTGACTCCACCCCTCAACATGCTCAGTTAGTCTGCAATATTGATGCTGTATGTATTTGTGTAATTCTCTACAGGTTGAGCTTCATCGCTGGTTGACCGCCAGGGATTCCATCCCCAAACCACCGGTGGTCAAACAACCAGAGGACGATGGTGGGAAGAGTGAGGCGGGGACACAAGGATAAATGGGAGGGGCTTGTCAAGAGACAAAGGGATAGAAAGAAGGGAAATGTCAGGTTAAAGATGATAGAGAGAAGAGTGAGACAGGAATTTAAGTGAATGCGTATCAAGACAGACGATGATGGGAGATTTGACGAAATGTGGGAGTGGCTTGTCAAAAAATAAGATGATGGGCGGGAGGGGGGGGGGGACTCAAGGAAAGGTGGGCCAGTCAAGATGATGGAAATTGGGAAGGTTGAAGTGGGAAGCAAGGTTGGGAGGGAGGGAGGGAGGGGCATATCTCATGAGGAAAGATTATGGAAGGATGCTTGGTAGAACTGTGCTGTGAATAAAGTAAAGGAGGAGGGGCTTGTGAAAGGAAGATGAAACTGGAAGGGTTGGGCTGAAGATACAAGGGTGTTATGAAAAATTAGAGGATGGTGGGAGGAGCTGGGACAGGGATGAGTTGGAGGGGCAAAAGGGAAGATGGGATAAATGCAGGAATAGGGGGATAAGTGGGAGGAGCTTGATACATGGGAGGGGTATAGCAAGATGAATATGGACTGTTCATGAGTCGAGGACTAAGGAATAGGTGGGAACACAAAGATAAATGGTAGGTGCATTTTAAGCCGGGCATCTTGAGATGGTAAAGGAATATGATGGGACGTACTAGGAAACAATTAAAATGGATAGTTGAAGGGGAACATTTGTATTACATTCCGTCTACAAATCTTTTTGTACATTTTTTTTAAATTAAATGTACACTTTGAAGCACATTCTGTACAAAGGTTTATCTCTAAGATGTTTTTTGTTGTTTATTAAATGTGTTGCTGAAGAATTGTACATATTTTTTGAAAATAAATGTGATTCAAACGATATAGCACATGCACAAGAATTGTCTGCAAATATCTGAGTTACTGTACTTTATAAAATTTTGACCAAAAAAAATGAAGCTGCTTGAAATTTGAAGGGTATATGCCTGAATGCCTTTAAAACTCATTTCTATTGCATTTTCGTCAGATGAGCCTTTAAATGTGTCAACATTTTTGGGAAAAATCAGTCAATTCTTTTTTAATAAATCAATGGATTTTGCCCAAATGTTTTCAATAATTGGTATTTCAATACGGGTATTTCCCGCGCGCAGAAATGTAGAAAGTTGGCCAAATGTAATTTAAAAAGTAACATGTTTTCAGTTCTGGAATGTATTTTGTTTATTTTGCAAACATGACAAAAAATGGAATGTTTTGGAATGTTTGAAAAACTTTGAATTTTTTTCCCTTCAGTTTTGGCCAAAATGAAATTGGGTGAAACTTGCATTTCTAGTCCGTCTTTTGACAGATATTCAAAATATTCAAGATAATTCAAAAAAAAATCGGGGGAAATCGTTCGTCCCCCCGCCCCCCCCGGCGTATTTTTTTGACAAATGTTTTTTTGTCAGCAATGATTTAAAGTGTTAGTTCTTGTGACATCAATCCCATAAACGAAAACCCGCTCAACAACCATTACAATGCGCCGTGAAAATGCCCATATAATATATAGTATTATACATAATAATGGTCAGTTTTGAAGAGCCTCCGCCCCCTTTGGAAAATGGGTGCCAGCCCCCCCCCCCCCCCCCCCCTTTTGATTTTACGGAGGGCAAGGGTCCGGAGAAAAAAACAGGCGACATTTCGGCGCAGATGTGCGGTTGCCCCCCCCCCCCCCCCCCCCGACATCAAAAGCTGGATACGCTGCTGATTGGCGGGCACATATAGTTTTCGAAAACCGGCACAACAGTCCAAGTAAGTTTGCTACGTTTGGCCATGAAATCTAACCACTGGCCTTCAAAGGTTACGTAAATTGACTTAACTACTGTATGTACTTCAGAAGATGATGCAGTTATTGAGGACACGGTTCGAAATTTTAACTTTTCAAAGAACTTAATCCGTCAGTGATCTTTGACCTTTGTTGATTTTCTGAGGTGGGCGTGGTTACAGTTTGACTATGCACTCAATATTTGAAGGATTGAGAGACAGTCAAAAAGAATTTCAGCTAGATACAAAATTTAACGTATTTTAATTCAGTATATATTAAGTAGCACAAAGTCTTTGTAATTTTTGCGTAGGAACAACATTTCAACATATCGGGAGTTAATTAAATAATAGGGCCTGCAAACCAAATTTTTCGCGCTCTTTTAATTACGCATATTTCAGGTGATGCCATGCGAATGTCATAAGTTTTCTTAGATTCACTATCATCATATCTTAGATTCACTATCATCATTTAGACATCAAGTCTAAAAAAAAAAGAAGAAGAAGAAGAAGAAGAAAAAGAACGGTCAATAGACTGTAACCCCAGACATATTTTTTTTTATTCAAAACTACTTCGCGGAAGATTACTGTGATAGGGCCCTGGCGTAGAAAATTGGTTCGCGTCGCTGAAGTGTACCAGCTGTGATAAGGCACTTTCCAAAATGACTGGTCCGCGCCCCAATGCTGTTGAAATCACAGCGATGCGGGGAGCCAGGGACCATGTGACTGCATGCGTATATATGCCCCACCCGAATTTTCCGCGTGGTTGTTTCACGCACTCGAAGTTGGCGGGCACATGGGCTGGAAACCGTTACAACGTTCAAAGTAAGTTTGCCACTTTTACCCCAAAAACCTAACAATTTGGCTGTCAAGAATTTAGTAGAAATGACTGCACTACTATAGGCACTTGTGAAATTGACAGCACAGCAAACTCCGCGTTGGAAATTTGAACTTTTGGAGGACGAAAATCGTCAGTGGTTTTACCATTCAATTTTCTGAGGTGGGCGTGGTTACAATTTAAGGGGTCCAGGCGCAGTTCTAGAGCCAATTTTTTTTCGCAGTGGCTATTGTTACGGCAGCCGTAACGCATTTCCTACTATCGTTACGGTAGACTGCAACTTTTATAAAAACATGAGAAGAAAATATAAAATTAGAAGGAAAAAAGTGAATTTGAACGTTTTGAAATTCGGACTTATTTCCCTTTTAAAAAAAATCCTCCAAAGCCTCGGGTTAGAAAAGGAAAAAAATTCGAGTGCAAAACTGAAATGCGAACCCGCAACCTCGCGGTGCAAAATCCTACCCTCTATCGGCTGAGCTGTCGCACTGCTTGCTAAAACGTGGGGAAACAAATAATTATATACCTGCTTGCGTATCAAAAAAGTATCGTAGAGGGCGCTAAACAACGGCTGCCGTAACGATAGCCACTTCGATTTTTTTTTTTGGGGGGGGGGAGGGCTAGCAAGGTGGATCCAGAATTTGTTTCAGGGAGGTGTGCTGAAATGTAGACAGGTAATTTTCTCCAGACACTTAGGCCTCTAAAAATCAATACGGAGGGTGGGGGTGGGGCCATATTTCTAATGGGGAGCACTGATAAAATCCACCCTTCTCATTTAGGGGGAAAACGTTCCCATGTACGGCAAATTCTTACATTTTGCTAGTGCATTTTTTTAAGGAATTTTTTTGAGGGGCTAGACCACCCCCCCCCCCAGGCCCTCGTAGAACCGCCACTGAAGGGGTCGAGAGTAAATTTCTAATACAACTAAAAATGTAAACTGTAATGTTCATTTGACCCTTCGGTGTTGCCCAAATTGCCCACTTAAAAAAAAAAACTCTCTCCTCTAGATTCATAAATTTCCTATTGGTTTTAAACATCACAAACAAGTTGGGTGACTAAACCCCAACTCCCTGGGTATGTGTCAAATCATGTGAACAATCATAAGAAAATTGGACGATTCACAAACTGTAAGGGTTAATTTATAAAAAATTGTTTTCGTTCTCTAATATAGGAATGGGTGTCTTAATACACATTCATACCTGCCAAATTCCCCCAAATTACTCAAAATTCACTATGACCACTTAAAATCACATGCAGATGTTGCAGTTCTGCCTTAATTAAGGTTCCAATTACATTATAAACAATCTGTAGTCACATAAAAATGTTATGAAATTGCGTAAATTTCAGGCAATACGTGGTTGCGTCATGACAAAGTCTGGTTCCCAGTGAACCTCAGCACCTAGACTAGCCAACCTGTCCCATTATGCAAGGGTTTGTTTGAAAAGATGAAAGCTTTTTGACACAAATGTACATGTACGGTACCATTTTTTTCAAATTTGCTATGTTTTTCTGTCAAATCGGGGGGGGGGGGGGGGGGGGTAGATAGAGGGGGCACCTGGCAGTTTAATTTTGGACTATTGTTTTCTGCAGTTATTTCAATAAACGGTTAGAGAGTTCTAACATTTATCCCAAAAAAGAAAACACGGTCAAAAAGCATGCGCCGTGAGCATACAAGTGGGCATACATGTAGGCCCCCTATATAATTTGCAGTATGCTTAATAATGGCCATTTTTCTTTGGATTAGGTAATATCCCCCCCCCCCCTGCCCCTTTTAAAATTTTACTGAGTAGAAGTGTCCGGAGAAAAAAAACGTATCTACATTTCGGCGCCTTGACATCACAAGCTGGATCATGCTACTGTAAGACATGAGCCTGAGACTGAGAAACATTTCCAATTTTGTTAGGAAATACCTCGAAAAAGTTCTTGACTCTCCATAGATTTTGTACACAACTGTTGAAGTGGTATTAGGTTAAAACATTCTTTCTGTCCTGAAATATGAACCTGAAACTGCTTGGGGAAAAAACCCCAATAAATTGGCCAATTGAAATGTATAGCAAGGGAAGTGGAAGTGAATTTGGACTGTTTTTGACCTTTTAAACAAGAGGAGGATTAAATCTTCCCTCTTTGTGGGGGAAAATTGAGTGAAGCAAACCCAGCAGTCAAACTCAAGTGACTGTTTTAAACCGCTGAGGGCTCCTTGCCCACATAAGCAGGATTGACTGGCTGTGATTGTTATGAAACTTGATCAGCAATGTTTTGACTGTAAAAGATTGATACACCAGCTGTTGATTGAATTTAACTGTCACAGTGCCCAGTATAAGAAATATGATCTGATTGTTGGTCACCACCCTGTTTAAAAGGCATGGCAGGGGAAGTGGGTTGAACTTTGTGGACTGTCTTTGACTTATCAACAACAAACAAGGAAATTGTTGATCAGTTAATTTTGGTTAAAAAAATAAGGAAAACTATTATTTTTCACTGCCCCTATAGGTTTGCCTTTTGGCTTGTGCATAAACTGCAATGCTTGTTTGTCATCCATGCCTACAAGCTCTGCCTGTGTAGGTGCATGCATCCAGAAAGTGCTAAATTTCTGTATTTCAAGTTCCCATTTCTTTAACTTTTTTTCTTTAAACTGTCTGGCCCTTAGAGTTTTCAGTACTAAAAGATATCACAATGGAAAAGCTGAAAATGTAATCAAGTCATGTGCAAAACTTGCAACATCTGAAAACAAGTACATGCTAATTGTTTACCTCTATAAATGTGCCATTGAAAACTAATAAGATGATCTCTTGTTTTATTTATTTTACAGACGGTGATCATGACAGAGACTCCAAGACTCCAAGCCAAACTTCAAGCCAATGAAGTGAACACTATCACGAACGCTAATACTGGAGGAATCATGCTGGAACTTTGCAACCAAGTCCTTGCCACTCTCGGTTTGTCATGAATGTACTGTGCCCGTCAAACAGTATTATGCTCTACAATTAGGCCTACGTCCCAGTGAAGTCTAGGGCCAGTTTTCTTGGGGCTTAAATTTAAATGATTTCAACATAAATAACATGTAGTTGAAATGAAATCTGTAATGAGTAATTAACCTTTAAAAACTGCATAAATCTTCATGATGTTTAGCCTACAAGAATAAAAATGCCAACAAATGAAGTCTTCAAGTTGATTAAAATAAATGAGAAAACATTAAAGAAGCACAGTAAACCTAACCAAAACCTAAGGTCAACGCTAATGAAAATAAAATAAAACTTCAAATGTTATTCATGAAACCTCAAGGATATACATGAAGATGCCTAAAATTAAGTCTTCAAAATGATTTATTAAGATTAGAAAACATAAGTACCTAGGGCAGTAAATCTAACCCATACTTAATGTCAGTGCTAATAAACGTCAAAACTTAGAAATGTTATTCATGATGTTTAAACCTCAAAGAAATAAATACCTAGAACTTAGTCTTCAAATTGACTTAAACTAGAAAACACAAGTAGAACAGTAAACCTAACCCAACCTGTTGGTCAGTGCTAATAAAAGTAACCTCAATTTCAAATAATATTCATGTTTAAACCTCAAGGAGCTGTCTAGAAATAACTCTTCAAATTATTTTAAAAGACTAGGAAACATAAGCAGAACAGTAAACCTAACCTAAATCTATTAAGGGCAATGCTATTGTAAGTGAAATTAAACTTCAAATATTATTAAGCAACTCACTTGACAACAAAAGGGAATTAATCTTATGCTTTAACCTTGAATGAATAGATGTCTAAAACTAAATCTTCAACACGGTTTAAGGTACTTGAAAACATAAGCAGCACAGTGTACGTAATGAGCCTAAGGTCAAAACTAATGAAAGTAAAATTTAAATTTTAAATATTAAGCAACTCACTTTGGAGGGTATATCCAGTTTTGAATACAAATACAAAAAAAAGTAGCATCCAAGTACGCCAAATATTTTGTTTTGTGTCGTCTATGCAAACTAAGGCATAGACCCTTGCAGCATTTTTTGAGGTCATTCCCCTGCACGCAACCATTAACAGTTCACCATGTTAATCACAAACCATTAACAGAACAGTGCAACCATTAACAGTTAACCATGTTAATCACAAACCATTAACAGAACAGTGCAACCATTAACAGTTAACCATGTTAATCACAAACCATTAACAGATATGCACTTTAACCACTAACCAGCAAAGACCCATCCGAGTGCTGCAAGGACTGGAAAAAATGTTTCACGCTTCTTGAGAAGTTAAGTTCACTTGCACAATTGTTTTGTTGTTCAAAGCTGGATTGCTGTAATTAATTTTTTCTTGAGTAGTGTAGTATGTACAACAGTTGTGGAAAATCAAATTTGTAAGTCAACTTTACATTTGATATAACTATGAGCACAAAAAAGGAAAACTATTTTAAAATGTTCAAGATCACTTTGATCATCAATCAGAAAGTTGACTAAAGATTAAGTTTAAACTCAAAAAGGTAATTTAAAATATATAACTATAAGTTCTAATGAAAAAGAAATTATTTCAAAAATCTGCATGATTTATTAATAGCCAGAAAAACAATTTGAAATCCAATTGTACTCCGATGGAAATGTTTAAAATGATGAAAAAAGATCAGCCTGGCATAAGGACACCATCTAAAAATGAGGATATTAATTTAAACCACATTCATATGTTAAAAAAAGATGACACTGAACCCTTAAACAAAGAATGAAGAGCAATTCAGCATAAAGCTATAACCATGATTAATTAATGGTCTTAAATTTTTGAAATCGCTTCAAGTTGGACCTGGACAAAGTTGGGACAATAGTCAGTACAGAGCAAGACATTTAAAAGAATGTGAAAGTCTTCATGGAGAAACTCTGAAAAGTTGCCCCAGGGTAAACTTTTGACAATGTGCAAGACAACTGTGAAATCATGAGAATGACATTCAGGATGGGAACTATAGATGTCAGCCAGATGGATGGTGTGATGAACAGATATGATGTAAGCCACGGCGTGTGGAAGGAGGAAAATCATCATCCTGTGAGAGATTCATCGCTAAGACAAAATCTGGACAAGGAATTAGTCATCAACATGTCGGACTTGGACTCGAGATCGACATTAAAAGGCAGTACTGCAGCACCTTTCGGAAGAGGATGGATTTAACTTTAACATGATTTCATGAGTTGCATTTCTCCAGTGCAGACTCTGTGCAAGCTTTTTAACCTAAATTAATCTTGGACGCACAATGGAAGGACACACCTACATGTACCTTGAACTCCACGCTATTTTGGAAGCTTGATACTCTCCGGATAAGCATCTTTGGAAGGACCGGCTTGGGGGAACAGTGACTTTCTGACGGTGGACGAGTGGAAATCTGATGACTTTCTGATTTTGGGAGCGATGGAATTCAACTTCTGACAATGTGCAGGACAAACTATGAAATATCGAGGATGACATTGTCAGAACAGTAACTACATGTATACAAGATATTGAGGACAAATTGATGAACAGATGTAAGCCACAGTGTGCTGAAGGAGGAAAATCATGCAGTGAGGGACTCATCACGAAGATAAAGGACAGCGAATTCATCATCTAAATGTCTGATTTGGACTAAGGATCAACATTAAAGGCAACATTGCAACATTTTTTGGAACTGCTTTTGTGAGTGTTGCATTTCTCCAGTGTAGACTTGGTGCAAACTGCTGCGTCACTCTACTATAATCTTGGAAGCACAATTGGAGGACACGCATTGCCATTTTGGGGAGCTTGACACTTGGAGGATGAGCTTCTTTGGAAGGACGGACTTGAACTTTGGAGAACAGTGACATTTGATATTGGACAAGTAGAAATCTGATGACCTTCTGATGTTGGGACCAGTGGAATTCGCCATCTTTACTACCAGTGGAGGCATGTTTCGTCCTGGAAACTTGGAGGTAATTTGTTTTCTTTTCTTTGGTTTGATATATGTTATACAAAAAATCATCTCCTTTATACAAGTACAATGTTGGGTTGTTGAAGATGAGAATCGAGTAAAAAAAATGCCATCTACATTCCTCTAATTTTGTTTTATTAATCAAAAAGATACTTCAAAAGACACTACCTTGGCAGTTTTCAGGGATGTTTTTGTGGGGTGGCACCTGGGGAAGGGGGCCAACTGAGAATTTGTGGAGGAGGGGTCACGTGCCTTCCCCCCCCCTCCCCTCCCCATCCCCTACTTGGCTCTTCTCCTTGTCTACACCAATTGGTTTGAACCTAGTTTTTTCTTCATTTTTAAGCTTCCAACTTTTTTTATGCCTTGATCCTAAAGGGTCGGAACAAAAATGGCTTCAAGTAGTATTCCCGAGTTTCCAAGATTGAACCCCATAATGCACAAAAGTTGTTCGTTTTTCTGCAAGGAAGACTGAATGCTTTTTGTTGAGCAGTAAAACATGATTTCCTTTCTTTTTTTATTCATATGAAATATTTGTGATCTGTTTATGTAGGTCTGGAGTTACTCGTGAGACGTTAACTGGCTTTGAGCATGACCAAGATGCCTGGATTGCAGAAGTCTACCGACGTTGGGAGGGCCAGACGGAAGGACCAGACGTCTTGGGTATAGAGGCCGGGGGACACGTTTGTATGTTCATAAGGTAAGGTAACCATTGTATGCAGGCTTGAACATGCACAAGACCCCGGATGTCGCTGTACAGTTTGCAAGTGGAGTCGCGTGGATTGTGTGGTAGAGTAGAGCGAGGGGGACAAGGTTGCATGTAAACCCAGGTGAGGTAACCATTTCTCTGCAGCTCTTCTAGGCCACATGCCTCAAGACTTGTCCCCCTGGATTCTGGATGTTGTTCTGTGGATTCTGGATGTTGTTCTGTGGATTGTGCTGAGTGGTATCCTGTTTTGACTGATGTAACCAAGATATTCATCTTGCTGTGGATGGAGTATAGATGGCAGCAGTGTGTTGTCAAAGGTGAGCATCATACCAGCTTCAACAGAAGATAAAATGTCAGCAGCACTTTTCAGTCAATCTTTAAGTCCTTTCTCATCCAAAAAGTTTGCCTTTATGTTTTGAGTTAAAAAGTTCATGAGTCTTCTTAAATAAAAAAGAGATCCAAAAATGTTGAACATATCGTTAATCTTGCAAACAAATCTTTTAATTGAGGTTTAAGCTTTCTCTCTGGAAATATTTGCTTAAGATCCTACACTTAATTCTTAATTTTGATTTTACTCTTTTCTTCCTTTCCTGATATATAGTTATAGCCAGAAAGTGGGCACAGCAAACACACGATATCTGCTGCCGTAATTGTGAGCAAGGACTATCAGCATTATAAGGTAACTGATTTTGCACTTGTGCTTTTTATAGCAATTGTAATTCACGTTCATGGACAGTGTCTTTTTGACTTTATCCCCACATTGCATGGCCTCTTCTAGCCTAAATAATATCTAGAAGTTTTATGCCTAACCCTCCAACATCTTTGAAAACCACTTACTCAGGAAGGATTTTGTACAGTAGATCTTGAATGCACATTAATGTTACAGCTACATGTAATTACCTGAATGAAAGCCTGCAACTCAGGGGTGTGAAATCTCAGCTACCCCTAACAGTAATTTGCATTCATTTTCAACTAACGTTTAAAAGACGGGAATTTAATATTTCCAATTTGTCAAATTTGCAGGTTGTAGACTACTGGCGCAATGCATTCAACGCCACATCACTGGAGTGGGAGCAAACGTGATGACTCTACAACAGCCTTCCATGTGACAACGTTCAGCCTCATCAGTCAGATCTACCAGGCACAGATCAGCAAGGACTAGGATCCCGTACGTCATATCACCTTGGATCAAATGGGTCAGTAGAAGTGATTTGGGAGAAAAACCTTTCTTAACCCTCCTTGCAAACATACATTCTGTGCCATAGTCCTTTCAGTCAAAATCAAACAAGTGACTGTTTTCAACAGTTAAGAATTCGTAGCCAAACATAATACAGGATTGATATTCTTTGACTCTGGGTGAGTGACAAAACAGCTGTGACCTCAACTTGTCTGCTTTGTCTGTTGACTCGGTTTGACTAGTCACAGTGCTTGCTTGACATATGATCTGACTGCTGGTGACTAGCCTTTATCAGAAGTATGGCAAGGGAAGTGGAAGTGAATTTTGACTGTCTGTGACTCTATCTTGCCACTTTTTGCCAACACTGCAAGATTGCCAATTTATGTGAGCTTCATGCAATTTCAAATGAAAACCATGCGTGGCTACAACTTTCAGCCAACATTGAAACAAAAATGACATGATTGTAACATTTCCACGTATCCAATTTCCAGGATGTAGACTACTGGCACCATTCAACTCCACATCACTGGAGCGGGAGCAAACGTGATGACTCTACAACAGCCTTCCTGCGACGATGTTCAGCCTCATCAGTCAGATCTACCAGGCACAGATCAGCAAGGATTGTGATCCACTTATATCACCCACCTTGGCTCTAAGAGGTCAGTATAATTGAATTGAGAGACAGACTTTTTATTTGCTTCACCATGTAGCACTTTTTGCCAACGAGTGGTGGTCAGCCATCATTTCTGTTAACAAGTACTGCACATGAGTGCCAATTTAGTTGAGCTGCATATGATTTCAAATGAAAAAAATTAGTTTGCTTGCAACTTTTGCACAGAAATGCACATTTGAGGGAGGTTAGTAACTTTTGCTTGCACACTAGCTCAACAAGCACTGGCTGATGGGAAGGGAGATACCCACTGTCTTCTTGAGACCAACAACATTCATCCTTTATTTTCTGATGGATAGAAATCTGAACTGGACATGAATCAAGTTTTATGGTCGTAAAATATTCTCAAATGAAAAAAGTTTGCTATGACCAAAACATGACGAATTTCATATAAACTATTTTTGAAAAGAACCTTTAGGCCAAAAATGCCCTTCTGCCCCCCCCCCCAAGGAAGTTTAAAACTGCTTTTATGTACTTCGGATCATGTGCAAAAGTTCTTAAATCCTGGAATTCTTATGGCTACTGGATCTACTATATGATCCTTGTCCTGTAACGTTGTTTTGATGAAGTACTTAATTATGTTTCTATCTTGTATCTTCTCCTGCAGGTGGACTACACAGCAATAACGATCAACATCAGCCGGACTTCAGCAGAGACGATGCTCCTCATGAGTGGATCCTGAAGGCAGACTGATGGGGGCTTCAGCGGCTCAGCCCTAGCCAGGAATTTCCATCTTGGCCACCAACCAACCAACGGGGAGACGTACCTGAAGTTGTTGCGCATTTGGATAAATCTGGACAGCATCATGTACACACTATGGAACTGATCATCGCACGTGGAAGGCAATTATTTGGCCAGACGCCCCCCCCCCTCCACCTCGACCACTTCAGCTTTAGCTTATTAGGATTTGGAGCCACAAAGGAACTGGATTGTTACACATTTTTCAACTGGATCGCGAAATGAACCGAACTTAAAACCCGCGTAATTTCTTGCGATTCGACTCTACGGTTAAATAAGAATTGTTTCAAGTTTCCCATACTTCTGACCTGTTGCTGATGTGGATGTCTTCATTTGTCGTGCAAGAAGAAAGGGATGCAATGCCCAAACTGTTTAGACATTTATCTACAAAGGCCACGTGCGTTTGTGAACTCTGTACACTCGCGAGACCCTCTTCTATGGAGAAACCATTGTCCGTGCTTTGAACCTTTTCGCTTGAAGACTGATGGAACTTTTCATTGCCAGAACTTTCATGCAGGGTGGTGGGAAAAATTGAGACAGCTGAGTTTTGAAATGTTTGAAATTGGAATTTTGTTAAGTTTTGGCTTGTTTTGGTTAAAATGTTGATTGTTTGCTGTTACGGCATCCCTCTTTTTATTCAATGGTTTTCATTTTCATGGTGTTAACTCACAATTAATTCTTTGCTTAAAAAATGAGATAATGCACACTTTGCATCATTTTATTGAGCTATCTATAGGCCTGATGGTTGGAACTGGAATTTTTCTTCAGGTTTTTAATTTCTGCAAACCGATTTAAGAGGCAGAAAAAGAACAATGAAAACCATGGAAATAAACAGAGATGCCCTTATATTCTTTTAATGTTACATGTTGCAACTTGTATAGAAAAATAACCCATTTCGATATTCGCAATGCATTTGAAGACTGATAGAACTTATCGTTATCGGAACTTTCATGAGTGGTGGTGGGAAATATTGAGACAGCTGAGTTTTCAAATGTTTGATATTAGAATTCTTTTTAAGTCATGACTTATTTTGGTTAAAATTTTGATACTTTTGCTATTAGGGCATCCCTCTTTTGTGGTTCTCATTTCTCACAATAACTTGTTGCATAAACTCGGCATAAATTAACAGTCTGCATAATTTAACGAAGCCATCTAAAGACAAATTCCGCGGCAGCCATTTTCTGCAATGGTGCAAGGTTTGCACGTGTTGCGCTCAAGTGTGACGCATGTGCTTCAGGCTCCTTCAACCATGTGCTTGAGCTTAAAACCACTGCAGTAAAAGCTGCTAATTCTGGTAGCCAGATTCCAGTTTATTGGTGGATCAGATTTTCTTCTGATGTTTATTTTCTGCAAACCGACCACTTCAGAGGCAAAGAAAACCAAAAACAAAAAAACCAAAAACTGTGAGAACTATAAACAATAAGGGAAACCCTCATATGATGTATGTTACATGTTATGATCTATGCAATGTTATATGCTATGATCTATGCAAAGAAAAATACAGTCGAGTCTCGTTATAACAAACTCGTTCAGACCCAGCCAAATTGTTTGTTATATCAGAATTTTGTATTAAGAGGAACATCAGTCCCTTTCATTGTGCATATAAATGCACAGTCGGGACTAAGACTTTATGTTTGTTATAACCAGAATTTTGTACTAACAGAGTTTGTACTAACGAGAGTCGACTGTAACCTGTTTCGATATTTACAATGCATCTTGGATATGGATGGCAAACCTAGCAATATGTACACAAGCATGAACCAATTAAAGATGAACTTTAATTAATGGAATCGTGCCAGAACTGTCCAAAGACATCCTTGCCACTCTTGGTTTGCCATGATTACACTTGTGCCCGTCAAACAATATTATGTTCTAAAGTACCAGTGAAATGTAGGGCCAACTTGCTAGTACCTGCATTGAAATAATTCCAACAGTTAAACTGAAATCTTAAATATGAGTGACTTGATTTAAAATACATTAACAGACTAAATCTTGATGATGTTAGTCTTCAAGAACATAGATGTGTTAAACCAAGTCTTCAAATTGATTTATAATAATCAAGAAAACTGAAGTAGCACAGTAAACCTATCCCATTTCATGCTAATAAAAGTAAAATGAACTTCCACAATTATTAATGATGTTAATTATTGATGCTTAATTAAACTTCAAGGATGTAAATACCTAGAATTTAGTCTTCAAATTGAGTTGTTAATATTAGAAAACATAGGTAGCACAGTAAACCTAACCCAAACCTAAGGTCAATGCTTATATCTAAACAAAAAACCTTTTAAATATTCATCATGATGTTTAACCCTCAATGATATAGTTTCCTAGAACTAAGTCTTCATATTGATTTAAAATGGATATCATCAGTAAACCAAACATTAACCTAAGGTCAATGCTACTAAAATTACAATAAAACTCTAAGGAAAAAAACAATCTTTACGCTTGGATCTCGAGAAATGGATGTCTAAAACTAATTTCTTCAACCTGATTTAAAGTAAACTAGACAACGGGCAGTACAGTGAATGTAAACGAACCTGAGGTCAAACCTAATTAAAGTAAAATTAAAGTTTAAATATTAAGCAACTATCTTGAGAGGGTAAATCCAGTTTTGAATACAAATGCAATGTACCGGTAGCATCCAAGTATGCCAAAGTCATTTTGTATCAACTGCACAAAAGTGTAGACCTGACCCTTGCAGTATTTTTTGAGGTCATTACCCTGCATGGCTATCATTAACTATCTTAACCACTAACCAGCAAAGACCCATCAAAATTCTGCAATGACTTGAAATATTACATGCTTTTGGGAACTTGTGCAATTTGTTGCCTGTTTTTCAAATCTGGATTGCCACACAAGTATTTTTGTAGTGTAATATGTACAAAATTTATGGAAAAGCAAAAGTCAACTCAGAAAATCAAACAAATTAGTCAACTTTACTATTGGTACAAAAAGGAGAAGAAATTTAAAGTTTTAAGAAATACTTTCGGAACGTAGATTATAAAGAAATAATCTAAATATTCTAAAAAAGCACCAGGAATTTGGATTTTCTAACCATATATTCTACTGAAAGGAAATTTTATTTTAAAATCTTCATACTTAGTATGGACAGAATTGAAATCGAAGAACTTGGATGAAAATGATTAATATGGTAAAAAGATGAGCTGGACCTAACCATTAAATGGCACATTAAGAGAAATAATGTAAAAAAACTGACCAGAAAAAACTGTAGAGCATAAATCTAAACACATTTTAAATGAACAATGAACTTATTTTCAGCAATAACTGCGTGGTCTTTAAGTAAAGACAGAAGTCTTAAAATGATTCAAGTTGGCCCTGGACAAACTTGGAACTATGACAATAAGAACAGTCAATTTAGAAGAATGTGAAAGTCTTTGTGGAGAAATGTTGAAAATCACCCCCAAATTGCTGCAGGATAAACTTAAAACTCAATACTTAAATGCAAAGAAAACTGGCCCTTTTCAATATTCGCAGGGAATCGCACTACATCTTGGATACAGAGGATAAAAATGTCAAGATTATTTCTGTATTTTTAAGTTTAAAAAAGTGACATTTATTTAGAAATCTATTTTTTATATTCTATGCATTTACGGGTATGAAAACTTCATAGGTTTGTGCATAAATGGCAATGCTTGTTTGTTACCCATCCCCAGGATGCAGTGTGAATTAACGCCACAGGTTTATTATTGGGATGTATCTCGAGTTCTTAAAGGGAATATATGTACATCATTGGCTTTTGCTGTAATTTTTAGAAATTAACTATTTAAGGGGTTAGTATAATAGATCAAATATTATTACACTGTCATGTTTGAAGTTTTGTGTTCGAAAATGGCTGGAAAAACCAAGAAAAACAAAACTGTTCAAGTAGTCTGGTTCTCTGACTCCACTTAATATAAAATGGATCAATTCACAGATGCCTGAAAATTGTAAGGTAAGGGTACCAGTCTAGATGGCCTGCACCTGTTCGTGAATATATAACCAATAGCAAACAAAATTTGGACTGAATTAATGGTAAATTTGGATCAATAGTTGAAAAATAGTTAGGTTTTTCCAACGGTGGTCGGCCGACCACCACTGGAATTTTTTTTACAAAAATACCATTTTCTTTAAAATGACTTCACACCAGTTGCCATAATTTTACAGGATGCTTTAGACTGTCATTTACCAACATCCTATTAAGGAATTTCATAAGAACTTGGTAGTTTTATTTTTCGATGTTTGCAAATGTTGTATATTCCCTTTAAAAGCTGTGCCTTTTCGAATAATTCAGTATTCGGATAAATTTCTGAAAACTTACATTTTCAGACAAAGTATCTTGAAATAATTAAGAACAGCTAGAGGAATGGATGATATTTATGTAAAGAAGAAATTGAAGATATATTTCTCATTTGAGACCTCAAATCGTACTCGAAATTGGATTTCAACAAATGTGTGGCATTTGACATAGAAAACCATGCAACTTAAATCAACCATTTTCAAATATTGGAATAGTTGGTCAACTGCCCTAAGGGTTCTCATCAACTTGGTGTAACTTCAGTCACTTTATCAAATTATAATATATTTGAAATTTATTGTAGACAAAGATACATGTATGTGATATATTTCTTTCAAAGTGTGGACCAAGTTTTATGAAAATCATAAGGAAACCCTTAAGTATGTAACATTTCGGGGAAAACCATAAGTGTGCAAAATTTTATAAAAAAACCCAGTTACGTTTAGCCTTTGCCATTTTGAGTTTATATTAGAAAAACGATTCACCCTCATTTAGTCAATAACCTACATGTAAGGGGCAATTCTGTGAATTCGGACGTACATTTCAGACACTCTAATGAACTGCTCTTGGAAAGCGAATATGACAATAGAAAGCAATAACAGACCTAACTAAGGTACCAGCACCTTTAATAATGACATGTATGTACATCATGTGGTCGGACGTATGTTGGATTTACGGAATTGCCCTTAGGTTAACCCTTTGAAGTTAAACGCCTGAATTCATTTTTTTGTGCAAAGTTTTATGGAAGTTTTCTTTAAAAATATTAATTTTGCCTAATTTTAATAAAACGCGAGGATAAATGAAAAATTTATGAATTGCGTCTAAATTGAAGTCTGATAAACGATTAACCCCTCAAGTTTAAAGAAAGTACGGTAAACCCGGGATTATTTTGACAAGAATGGAAAGAGGCGCGGGATTGCTTTTCACTGGGCCTCATGCCAGGTGGGTTAAGCCATCACTCTCGGGCAACACACTCATATTTCCGGGCTCGCTCACTGGGTATTTATCCTTCATCCATTAAGAATACTGCAAAACCTTTGCGGGTATACACGTCATCCGGCGCGAACTGGTTAAAGACTTTTAAGAAAATTATTATTGCCAAGGTTTACCTCTCAAATGTAGAATTCAGAGGGAAAAGAATAAATCCAAAAATAATATATTTGAGGCCATTACTTGAGCTTGCCAGTGGGCATGAACTAGTACACTTGGTTTGACCTATTAGTACAAATTTCAATTGAAAAAAGTCCAAGTTCAACAAACCTGATAGGTAAATCCAGACCATAGTCATTTGAATGTTTGGACACACAAAAACAAAATTGCTATTTTTTTTAAAAATAAAACAAAACAAAAACATGTTAACCCCTTTTATTGTGTACTTTTTTTGAAAACATTGAAGTATCTAACCTTATTAATTTTGAGGTAAACCTCTTACCATTTTGAATGTGATACAAAAACCTGATTTGGCTAAAATGTTTTTGAATTCTTGAAATTACCCCTTACAACTTCAAGAAATTTTTAGAAAAAGAATCTTATTTTATCAAATTTTAATAACCTTGCCATTTGGAATGTTTCGTTGATGAGCAGTTTGCGAATAGCGTCATGTTTGCCTGATTATTGTATTAGGTAAACCCCTTGCCATGTTTATTATTTATTTTTAGAAAATTTATCTTATTAATGTAAACCAATTCATGGAAATAACCATTTACAATTCAGAAGTTTTAAGAAAATTTTCATTTTTCCAAATTTTAAATCCTTCTCATTTTGAATTGAGAAAATGACATAGTTTTCTGGAAGCCGGGGCCTGGATCCCGGGGCCTGGGTTGAGAAAAACAAGCTTTCACAAATTTGGTCAATTACGTACAAGGCAAAACTCCTTTCTATTTTGAGATCATGAGAAAGTTTCATTTTAATGAAATATTTAAGGGCTTAATAACCAGTTGTCATTTAGAATTTTGAGAAAAATGAAATTTAACTTAAAGGAATAAGGTCAGCCAATTTAATACCATGTAGACAATCTTAAGTTAATTTATTTCCTTTGTATTGCATTCTGAAAGTATAGAATTAAATGTTTCATTGATGAACATTTTGCGAATAGCGTCATTTATTATTTTTTTTATAGAAATGTTAATTCAAAATTGGAAGTATTTAAAATTAATTAAGAAAATGACATTTTACTGGAAGCTGGGGCCTGGATCCCGGGGGCCTGGATCCCGGGGGCCTGGATCCCGGGGCCTGGATCCCGGGGGCCTGGATCCCGGGGGCCGGGATTTCGGGGGCCGGGATTTCGGGGGCCGGGATTTCGGGGGCCGGGATTTCGGGGGCCGGGATTTCGGGGCCGGGATTTCGGGGCCGGGATTTCGGGGGCCGGGATTTCGGGGGCCGGGATTTCGGGGGCCGGGATTTCGGGGGCCGGGATTGGGGGGGGGGGGGGGGGGGGGGGGGGGGGGCTGGGCAGGGGCCAGGATTTCAGGGGCTGGGCCGGGGCCTGGATCCCGGGGCTGGGCCGGGGGCTGGGCTGGGCCGGGGGCTGGGCCGGGGCCTGAATTTCGGGGGCTGGGCCGGGGCCTGGATCCCGGGGCTGGGCCGGGGGCTGGGCTGGGCCGGGGGCTGGGCCGGGGCCTGGATTTCGGGGGCTGGGCCAGGGCCTGGATTTCGGGGGCTGGGCCGGGGCCTGGATTTCGGGGCTGGGCCGGGGCCTGGATTTCGGGGGCTGGGCCGGGGCCTGGATCCCGGGGCTGGGCCGGGGGCTGGATTTTGGGGGCTGGGCAGGGACCTGAATTTCGGGGGCTGGGCCGGGGCCTGGATCCCGGGGCTGGGCCGGGGGCTGGGCTGGGCCGGGGGCTGGGCCGGGGCCTGGATTTCGGGGGCTGGGCCAGGGCCTGGATTTCGGGGGCTGGGCCGGGGCCTGGATTTCGGGGCTGGGCCGGGGCCTGGATTTCGGGGGCTGGGCCGGGGCCTGGATCCCGGGGCTGGGCCGGGGGCTGGATTTTGGGGGCTGGGCAGGGACCTGGATTTCGGGGGCTGGGCAGGGGCCTGGATTTCAAGGGCTGGGCCGGGGGCTGGGCCAGGGCCTGGATTTCGGGGGCTGGGCAGGGGCCAGGATTTCGGGGGCTGGGCCGGGGCCTGGATTTCGGGGGCTGGGCCTGGATCCCGGGGCTGGGCCGGGGCCTGGATTTCGGGGGCTGGGCAGGGGCCTGGATTTCGGGGGCTGGGCCGGGGCCTGGATTTCGGGGGCTGGGCCGGGGCCTGGATTTCGGGGGCTGGGCCGGGGCCTGGATTTCGGGGGCTGGGCCGGGGCCTGGATCCCGGGGCTGGGCCGGGGCCTGGATTTCGGGGGCTGGGCCGGGGCCTGGATTTCGGGGGCTGGGCCGGGGCCTGGATCCCGGGGCTGGGTAGGGGCCAGGATTTCGGGGGCTGGGCCGGGGCCTGGATTTCGGGGGCTGGGCCGGGGCCTGGATTTTGAGGGCTGGGCCGGGGCCTGGATTTTGGGGGCTGGGCCGGGGCCAGGGTTTCGGGGGCTGGGCCGGGACCTGGATTTCGGGGGCTGGGCCGGGGCCTGGATTTCGGGGGCTGGGCTGGGGCCTGGATTTTGAGGGCTGGGCCGGGGCCTGGATTTCAGGGGCTGTGCCGGGGCCTGGATTTTGGGGGCTGGGCCGGGGCCTGGATTTCGGGGGCTGGGCAGGGGCCTGGATTTTGGGGGCTGGGCTGGGGCCTGGATCCCGGGGCTGGGCCGGGGCCTGGATTTCGGGGGCTGGGCCGGGGCCTGGATTTCGGGGGCTGGGCCGGGGCCTGGATTTCGGGGGCTGGGCCGGGGCCTGGATCCCGGGGCTGGGCCGGGGCCTGGATTTCGGGGGCTGGGCAGGGGCCTGGATTTCGGGGGCTGGGCCGGGGCCTGGATCCCGGGGCTGGGCCGGGGGCTGGGCTGGGCCGGGGGCTGGGCCGGGGCCTGGATTTCGGGGGCTGGGCCAGGGCCTGGATTTCGGGGGCTGGGCCGGGGCCTGGATTTCGGGGCTGGGCCGGGGCCTGGATTTCGGGGGCTGGGCCGGGGCCTGGATCCCGGGGCTGGGCCGGGGGCTGGATTTTGGGGGCTGGGCAGGGACCTGGATTTCGGGGGCTGGGCAGGGGCCTGGATTTCAAGGGCTGGGCCGGGGGCTGGGCCAGGGCCTGGATTTCGGGGGCTGGGCAGGGGCCAGGATTTCGGGGGCTGGGCCGGGGCCTGGATTTCGGGGGCTGGGCCTGGATCCCGGGGCTGGGCCGGGGCCTGGATTTCGGGGGCTGGGCAGGGGCCTGGATTTCGGGGGCTGGGCCGGGGCCTGGATTTCGGGGGCTGGGCCGGGGCCTGGATTTCGGGGGCTGGGCCGGGGCCTGGATTTC